GGAATCCCCAGGCCTCCTCCAAGCATCCCAGCCCCGAGTCAGAGGCAGCAGAGCAGAAGGCCCTGCTCACAGTGCAGTACAGCCTCCTGAAGATCCTCAGCAAGTCCCTCGCTGCCCTGCGCCACTTCACCCCCGATGTCTGCCAGATCCTGCTTGACCAGGTGGGGACAGAGGAGGGGAGCTGCTCCGTGAAGGGGGGAGGTCCCAGCATTTCCAGGGATGTTCTGGCTCTGTGTAGTGAGGCACAGTAACCCTTGTCTGCTTCCCACTGCACAGAGCAGGAAGGCAGGACACAAGGAATTCCCACTGGGAATCAGGCACTGGTCGGTGTGAAAGGAAGGCTTGGCCAGGCTTTTGTGGGATCTCCACAACACCGTGTCCACAGTGGGGTTGTGCCCTCAGTGCACTCTTCAGGAAAGAGTCCCCTTATCCTCCCACTGTGGTGTGACCCAGTGGCTCATCTCCAGGTTCAGAAAAGGAGGGTTTAATCCTTGACTCTGGCAGTGTCCTGCTGCTGACTGTGGGATAGGGAACTTCCTTCTCCTGTGCCTCTGGGTACATAGCCCAGTGTGGGAGCAGTCAGTGCCTCGGTGTGCAGCGATGGGAGCTGTGTGAGCAGAGCAGTCTGGTTGTGCAGTGCTGCACAGAACACTTCACTGCTCACTGTACCCCTGAGATCTGTGAAATCACCACAGTGCTTCTATTTCTCCGTATAAAAAGCACAAGGAGGGACTGGATATTCCTGTTCCTATGGCAACAACACACTCGTGGCCTCGAGGGTCTCACACCCCTTTCCATGTCCCTGCAGTCGCTGGACCTGGCTGAGTACAACGTGCTCTTTGTCCTGAGTTTCACCACACCGGCCTTCGACTCGGACGTCGCCCCTTCCTTTGGGACCCTCCTGGCCACGGTCAACGTGGCCCTGAACATGCTGGGAGAGGTACTGCCCCTTTCCTGTCTGCCAGCACGGCAGGTGCAGTGACCCCAGAGTGCTCCTTCAGCTCATGCTTCGAAGAGCAGCAGTAGTTCTTTTGTATCTCCCGTCTCTAATGCCTGTCTTTTTTTCCCTCCAAGCTGGATAAGAAGAAGGAACCTTTCCCTCAGGCTGCAGGGCTGAATATGCAAGAGGGAACCAAAACCCTCAAGTAAGTGTCTAATTATTTGATGTAATCACGGCCAGGCAGCAGAACCCAGAGCTCCTCACATCAGAACTGAAGTTGAGAGGCATTTGTGTAGCTTCAGAGCTTCTCACTCTGAATCCAGGGAGTTCAGATAGCCCATCAGCAGCTCTCCAAAGCAAGCGGGGTTTTTGGGGGAGGATGTGTGAAGCCATCCCATCATAAATCAACCACTGAAGATGCACGTAAAGAGGTGTTTGATGCTTATTTACTGGCACTTCTAAACCAGAGTTCCCTGCTGGTCACAGGGGTTTCTGGTCTGCAGAGCAGAGCTTTTGGCTAGGGCTGCTTGAGCAGAACGAGCACAGTAACACTGTTCCCTCATACATGTGTGTGTGTGAAGCCTTTCTGTGATTGTTTGACCTGGAAGGCGCTGTGTGCTGACCTTTATTTGTGTTTTTTGCACAGGTCTCTGCTCATGTTTACAATGGAGAACTGTTTCTACCTGCTCATCTCCCAGGCCGTGCGGTACCTGCGGGACCCGGCCGTGCACCCCCGGGACAAGCAGCGGATGAAGCAGGAGCTGAGCTCGGAGCTGGTGAGTGAGCACCTTGGGAGTGAGCTCCTCCCGCCAGACACGGGGACCCCACACAGAGGGGTGACCACCAGAGGTGGTCACCCCTCTGTGTGGGGTCCCCGTGTCTGGCGGGAGGAGCTCACTCGTCTGGGGCTGCCCAGGAAAGCCCAGCAGGAATGAGCAGCCTGGGGCTGCACACACTGGCAGGTTGCTGTGCCACGGGAAGCTGGGGTGGGGAGGGAGAGGGCGTAGAGTGGCAAGAAGCTCTGACCTGTCCCGCGCTTGTGATTGCAGAGTACGCTGCTCTCCAGCCTGTCCCGTTACTTCCGCCGGGGTGGCCCCTCTTCGCCTGCCAGCGGGGTCCTTCCCTCTCCCCAAGGAAAGGCTTCCTCCAAGCTGGGTCCAGAGGGGCAGGAGCCCTTGTTCCAGCTCGTGCAGGCCTTTGTCCGGCACGTGCAGAGATAGATCCTGTCCTGGCCCTGCCTCCCTTTTCAGGACCTGCAGCGGAACGATTCACGTCCACCACGGAAGGCATCACCTTTGGCAGAGCTGGAACGAGGACTGGGAAGGGAGGGAGGCCAGGTGTGGGCAGTGGTGTCACCCCAGCAGTGGGATCCCATGAACTCTCGCCATCCAGGAGCAGAGCGAATGTAAGGAGAGCCCAGAGCGGCTCTCCGGTGACCACCCAGCGTGCACAGCCTGCTCACCCCCTCTGCCAGAGCATCCTGGCTGGCTACAAGCACTGAACACTCAAAAAAAACCTTTATTTTTATAGCTTGTACCTCAGCTGGGGAAGCTGTGGCTGGATAGAGAGAGGAGACACTTCCTGCTGGGCATTAACTCTGCTCCTGTCACCAGGTGCAATCTGCCTGTCCCGCACAGAGTCCGGCTGAGGCGCACCGAGGGATCAGCCAGCAATTCAGAGACCATCTTTCTACTGCTATTTTTGTACTGAGTGGTTCAAGGCACGATGGTGTATGTGTGCTCACGCCTTCCCTTCACCCTGCAGTCTGTGTGTCGTGTGTGTTTCTGAAGAGCAAGGCCTCACCTAAGGTTTTTACGTCAAAATTCCATTGCTCCGAGTCTTGCAGTTTTTTGTAACTGTGCCCTATTTATACTGATATTAAAACCTTTATAGACAGCACCTGGGCTCGTGGGTTTGTGTTGGTCACGGCAGCAGCAGCTCTGCAGTGGCTGGGTGGTGGTTTCTGCTGGGCTGAAGTACCAGCAAAGGCTGTGGTTTGTGAGTGACAATCCAGTGCTGTTTGAACTGACTGATTAGGACCAATTAAAGGCTGATTCCCTCGGCTTCCCCACACCCACTCCCTTTCTCGTGTTGGGGAACTCGTAGGAGGTTTGGAATGAGCAGCACTGTAAAATTCTCCTCAGGGCTGATTCCCCCTGCACATCCCCTGCCTGTGCAGCAGCAGGGAGGGCACAGGGTCACACTGGGAGGGACACTGTCTACAGTGAAGGTGCACTGTGTGCTGTGGCTCTCGAGTAAATCAACAAATCCTTTAGTGTTCTGAGGCTCAGTGATGGAGACATTAAGAGAAGGTCAGTAATTACTTCTTAAAGAAAAGCCTGAAATCTAGAGAGTCCTCTAAGGTAAAAAAATCAAATTTCAGTGTAGCTGTGAGCTAGTAACCTACCAGTTCTTTCCTAAAGAGACACTTAATTGCTTTACCAGCCAGAACCTTTTTAATCTCAATGGTTTTAAGAGACTGGAGTAAGAAAATGAGATTATCTTGCTTTGAGGTTTGTTTTTTTTCCCTTGTAAGCTTAAGTGCTGGCAATATTCTGGCACATTTGCTTGATCCAGTTTCACATGCCCTGAAGGTTTGGAGAGATCTGAATTAGCTGGCTGGAGTAAAATGGTCTTAAAGTAGAAGGGAGAGGGGCTTGTTTACCTTCCAAAACTGGAGGTGAGCTGCTCTGACAGTGAGGGAGGGGGTGACAGTCCCAAGCCTGGTGGTGGTTCCATGGGGAGGTCACTGGTACCACTTTGTGCCCTGGGGGAACTGTGGAGAGCTGGAGGTGAAGAACTGTGCACAGACAGCAAATGGGTGAGGGGAGCTGTGGGAGGGAAGCAAAGCTGGAATCTGGCACACCTGAGCAAGTTGAGTTCCAGCAGGGGCTGTTTCTGGATGGCTCTGGCAGGGATCACTCCTTTGGTTACAGCTTTGGAAGGTGCAGTGTGTTCATCACTTCACTGCTGTTGAACAAGGACGGATAGGATGAGAACTGAGGGAGAAGTAATAAATTCTTTGAGATGTTTGCTCAGCACCAGAGTGAGTTTGTGGTGCTTGGCAGGAGCCTTTGGTGCCAGGCAGAGCAGTTGATGCTGTTGGTTACACGTGTTTCAGAGCTACAGCAGCATTCCAGTCCTGAGCTGTCCCCCGGGCACAGGGGGGATGGATGCAGCCAAGGGGAGCTCCCCCTGCCATCTGCAGAGAAGCAGCACAAGTGTCACCTTCCTGTACAGAGGTAGGAGCAGCAATAGTTATTTCATGTGCTTCTTTTTTTTTTACTACTGCAGAGGGAACAGAATTCCTTCTGGCTGCTCTGAGGGAAGAGACACCATTTTCTGCATCATTAAACTGCTGCTGTTTTTGCTCAAACTGTTCTTCCTCTTTAATGTACCAGGGAGAGCAATAACAGGGATTCACTGGCCTGAGGGAAAGGCACACATGCTGGAAGGTGGGAGGGAAATAGATAGGGGTTAGATCTCTAATAGATTATGGGAGTGATAATCCTGGCAACTGGAAAACCAACTAAAACAGGAAGATATTTGATTTCATTTCAGTAGATATTTCATTTAAGTAGAACAGCCGAGCGCTGGTGCTGCACTGACAGAGCCTTTCAACAGCCTCTTCTCCCAGGAGTTCTTTCCAAGCTGGGTGCGAGGCACAAGGCTTTAGGATTTTAGATCAGCAGCAGATCTAGTTTCCATAACAACAACAAAAGTCTGTTAGATCTAGAATAGCACTTCAGTCTCTCAGCAGCTGAAGTCATCCTGTGCTCTATTTTTGCCTCAGGTGAAGGAGGAGCTGTTGTTTCTCAGAGCCCCCGAAGCCGTAGTACGACTGAGATGTGTCATCTGGGGGAGGAACAGCAAGACATTTCCAACCCTATGGCGTGTTGGGAGTTTCAGGTGGGACAGGAGGAACTGGCAGCTTTGTTTTGCTTTTACCCCCCAAGGCTGGGATAGCAGGAGGGCACTGCTCTCCCCTGAGCTGCTTGTCCCTGTTTTTGCTGGGGGGGCAGGGACAGCCCTGAGCCCACGGACGATGCTGAGGCAGGAGGTCAGGCAGTTTGTTTATTGGCAAATAAGTGCTGAAACCCACGAGCCCCACAGACACAGGTGCTCAGTGCCCTGTTACATCAGAGTGGTCACGATACCGTTGGGGAAAGTGCAAAAGATCAATGAACAAGCAAAGTTAGTTCCGACATACCCAGGGGAAGGGGGTGAACAGAGAGCTCGGTGCAGGTGAGTTTCTCTTCCATCCAGCTTGAGTGGAAAACCAGTGACACAGCAGTGGAAGTCCTTTGGGTGAGCTCTAGCTAGAAGTGAACTGCAGGATGAGCAGGCACACCCACACACACGCCCCTGAGCTAAAGCAGCACGTCCCTCCAGGACAGCTGGGGCTGTTGGGGGGTGTGTGCATGGCCAAGAGCAGCTCCTTGCTGGAGGTGACAGCGGGTGGGACTGTCCCTTTCTGCACTAGGATGCACCAAGTCTGTTCACTGCTGATATGGGAGGGGAAACATTCATTAAATCAGTGATTCAGGGTAAAAATAAAGTCAGGCTAAAACATGCCTGGACAGATGCACTGAAAGAAAAGCCTGGACAGTAACAGGGGCAGCAAAGCTGTAAAAAGGCTTGTAAACTTTGCAGTCCAAGAGCAACTTCTCGGAGGAAACACAAGCGAGGTGATGGTCCCTTGCACTGAGGTTTGGGGTTGGGCCCTATGGTACCACATTGGTCTCCACAAAGAAATCTTCCAGCTTCAGGGGACAGTGTAGGGAGCAGCCACCAGGCCCCAGGACAGAGTGTGGCTCCAGGCCAGCCCCGCCTTGCTGGTCACCCACGGGAGGATGGGTTCAACAGGTCCTAAAGCTGAACTGCAGCTTCCTTGCCTTACGTGCTGGGACGTGTCAGAGGTGGGGGTGTGAGACACTTCCCTACTGGAACGCTCAGTGGTTGGACTTGGGCAATTCTACTGTTGGAGAAGAGATGGGAGGGGAGGGGCAGACAGGCACTAACCCACAGCAGACACAGGGAAGTGTAACTGGGACTCCGTGAGCAGCTGCTGAGGGACACGGCTTGCCCTGGGAAAGCCACTGTGAGGGACAAGACTAGGGCAGGCAAGGGAAAATAATCGAGGAATCTTGTGCCATCAAGACTGACCTCAAAGCAGGCTGTACTGGGAGGTGACAAATTCAGTCTTGGGTGCCATCAGCCCTTTCCCAAAACCTCACCATTAACCGTTTTCCCACTTCTTTCCCCCAATTCCCGTGCTAGCAATGGAGTGTCAAACCCTGAATGGTCTCGGACGAAGAAATCCACATTAGAAGTGCCAGGAGATGAGGGGTGTATTCTGCTTGTACATTCTTCCTGGAGACATTTAACTCAACAGTTCCAAGTAAGTGACAGGAACCTTCCCCTTCTGGTTTCCTCTTTCCCCTATGAGCCAGTCTGGATCCATGCCTGGCAGGCTGTACACGGTGATCATCTGCAGAGAGAAGACAGCATCACACAGGACCTTACGCTGCAGCCAGAGCCAAGAAGTTCAGTCAGAGGGGGACTGAAAGAACAGTAATTGCTGAACTTCATTTAACAGGCATCTGTGCCCTTTCCCTGGAGCTATCTGCAGTTTTAACACAAAATCTAAGGAAAGCTGCCCAGTGATGTCCCTGATGCCTTTTCATTCTCCAGAGTGACTTAAGGCATTTTTACATGTTGCTGTTCTGAATACAGAAGTTCAGTCTAGAGAACAGAAGAGTTTGCAACTTGCTGAATTCCCTTTTTCTCTCAGCATGATTAGAGCAATCCTCCAGCCAGCAGCTTATCCCATGGCTCTGGATTAGGCAGCTGCATTAGAGGGTCACAGTGAAGATACTATTGGGGTATGTTAAATAACAAATGGCCGTGAACACAACTGCTGCAGCTCAGGGGGTACCTGTGTCCAGGTAAAGACTCTATTAGTGCCATAAAGCAGGTTTTTAGGGGCAGGGGAAGTAACCAAAGGCCTGCTGAGCACACAACAGACAGGTGGGCAGTCACAGCCAAACCCAGCACACGGGAAAGCCACCAACCTCATCTGCAAGGAGGGCCAGCTCGGTGCTGTCGGCGGCTTCGTAATCGTAGAGGACTCTGGCCTTCCGCGTCCCACTGGCAGGAGGCTTCACCTCGTTGGGGTTCAGCACCCCCTCTGCCACCGTGTTGGGCACCCCAACGATTGTGGGCACAACTGGAATGGTAGGCACAGCAGGGAGCGGGGCAGCAGCGACAGCCGGGGCAGAGGGAGCAGCTGCGGGAGAGGTGGAGTCTGCGTTGCCTACGAACGTGCCTGAAAATCTTCACACAGGAGAAGAGAGCAGAGTTCAGTGAGGCTCAGGCTGGGCAGCCACACAGAGCTCCTGCTTTCAGCAGTTACACTGCAGGGATGATGCTCGAGAGTCCCCTGCCCTTCCCATGGGGACACACACTCACTCCTCAGGTGCTGACTGTGCTATGGCTGATATTTGTCTGCTTGCTTGGACTCCACTGCCCTGTTTCAGGACTGGCACCAAACCCGCAGAGGACCAGACTGAGGTGTGGCACTGGGCTGGGCAGGGCTCTGACTGAGTCCTCTGCACTGTGTCCTTGCCCTGCTCTCACATGGTCTGTGGTACCTGTTCTGCCTTTGGCATTGCTGCTGTTAAACTGGATGCCCAGCTGGAGGCTCCCAGCCTTTGGGGGCTCTCCAGAGGGACAGTGATGGAGCTCAGGCCCATTTATCTAGAGGGGGTGCAGTTCTGGCCCTTGCTGGCCTTTGAGGCAAGTTCTGAGACCCCAGAGTGGCTGAGGGGAGAGAGAGCCCTCAGAGCTCGTCCTGGTCAAAGTGGTACTTACAATTCTCCTTTGGAGCTGCAGCATGGAAAAGAACAGAACAGGGGCAGTGAGTGATCACAGAGAGGCAACAACCCCTCCTGGGTCAGGAGTGACAGCAGCAGAGAGAATATCCCAGCCCACCCCAAGGGATGTGCAGCCAGTGGCACTGAACATGGAACGTGGAGTTTGGAATCTGTTACTGCTGCAGCCGAGCACGCTCAGGCTCATTGCCTGGCAACAGGAATTTGACTCCCATGTGATTTAACTAATTTAGAGGAAGAATGTTCCAGCCCCCATGGCCTTCGTGCTTTGAGAGGAATGTATAAACCCCAGATGAATCCCGTGGCAAAGCCTGCTCCAAGCACACCAGCAGGACTGGTGTAAACTCTGTCAGAGCTGGGAGGGGGCTTTGTAACTCTACCCAAGGTTCTGATGTGGGAGGGGAAGGAGGGCTGAGCTGGGGTAATGAGATCAATAACCCTCAGAGAAGTAAAAGCAATGTCTTGTCTTACCTGCCCAGTTGCTTCTGCAGGTCCAGCATGAATTGGTAGCACTGAGCATAATAGTTGGTCTGAGACTCCACAAACTCATGGAGACAGCGAAGGTGATTCACCTGGAGGGAAAAGGACCATCAGCTTGACTGAGTTTGGTTGCCAGGCACAGAAACTCTCCTGCTGCAGCCACTGCTACCCCCCAGAGAAGCAGACTCATGCATGCCCGTGTGGCCACCCCACAGCTCCAGTCAGAGAACAAGGTTTTCCTGGCCTGGAAGCATTTTGAGGGCTGCAGAACCCCCAGTGGCACTGCCTGTGCACACTTCAGCGTGGTTTTAGTTTGAACATTCCGGGTCTTAGGAGGATGCTGCTGTAGCATCCAAATCTACCACCTCTTCTACCTCTATTCCCAGTGCTGGGCTCCATCATCCTCTCGGTACTCTTCTAGGAAGGAGCCAGGAGTCTCTGTAGTCCCTGCTGACCCCCCAGTGCCCGGGAAGACTCACGTGTGTGCTGCTGATCCCCTCCAGCAGCAGACGCGTCACCTCTGCCTGGCGGTCGAACTCGGTCTGGGTGAGCCTCATCTCGTGCTCCGCCTGCAAACAGGGTGGGGGGCTCAGGCAGCAGAGGCAGGACCCCTGTGCTGCCTCCCCACCCTCCCCAGCCCTCCACCACCCCCTCTTCCTGGCTCCAAGACGACGGGTGGTGCTGCTCAGCGGGATCCACGTGCACCCACTGAGTGTCAGGCACCAGCCAGCCTGGGCTGGGATCCCTGAGGCCTCAGGCTGTGTTTTCAACCTGATTCCTGCTGGATCCCACACCAGATCGCTGCAGGTCGTGGAATGGCAGCTCAAGACTTGATGCATCAAGCTAGGAAGCTCCTGCTCCCACAAGACTAGAACAGTGAAGATGGAGAGGCTTTGTTAATCCTGAGGGATGTGGAAAGCCAGTCCTGTGCCAGCACCAGTCTTTTTATCCCCCTCTTTCTGTGCCTGCAGGCACAGGAATGCCACAGCCTCCCTAAGCTTCCCTCTGGCAGTGCAGTGGTTTCTTTTTGTCACCACAGAACAAAGGCTGAGGCTAGGCAACATTTACCAGATTGCTGCTGCTAATTAAGTCTCTCCCAATCCAACTTCTACTCAAGGCTCTCCTTTGGAGCTACTTACAGCTTTAGAGCTAGGAGACCTGAACACCAGTGAGCAGAAGGCAGCTCCACAGCAGGAACTGGGAATTCAGAGACAGACTGACACTGGGGACCCTCCTGACCAGCCAGACAGAACATCTCTCCCCCACCAGCAAACAATGCATTTACACTGGGGCAGTTCTTGCAGTACCAGAACACCTGGGTGGATCCTGGCAGGAAGAGCTCCAGAAGTGCTGGAGCAGCCAAGTGCTCTGGTGCCACTCTCCCCTCCTGCTCTGGATGGTGACAAACAGGCCCACGTGTCCTCTAGCACAGTTCACTCCTTAACACCAGGCACTGGTCTCCTCTTGGGACGTGCTGTGATGGGCCACAGAGGAGTGAGCCCCACTCAGCTCCAGCTCTCTGGAAGGAGAAGCCCTTCCCCTCCTCCAGGAGTGTGCAGCCACTGGAGAGCTGCCTGCCTCGTTCCTTCTGCTGGAAATGCCCTGATCACTCTGGCACAGGAGTGACACGTCTGGAATTGAGCCCAGAGGGCTGATCCAGCCAGGCTGACAGAGCAGAGGCCACGTGGCTGGTGACCCCAGAGGAGACCCAGTATTCCCAGCAGGACAAGCTGGAGGGGTTGCTGGGGCCAGCACAATTCTCATCTGGTACCAGTGTTACCAGTACCAGTGTAGAGCCAGGCTGCAACAAAGAAATGCTTTGACTGTCTCTTAATCAGATTTGTCTATTTTAAGCTACAACTGATCTATTTTCTTCCATCCTCGGTATGAAGGGATTATTTAAAGGAGAAGGGGGGATGTAACAGGATATCCCAGTGCAATGCCTCCAAAGCACCAAGAGATTCTTGCCCCAGTGGGCTGAGACTTCAGCATTCAAGCTATTCAGAACCTGTGCCAGGCAGACCCAGCTCCACTGGCACTGCCTGGGATTTGCCTCTCCCTGCCAGCTCTCAGCAGCTGCAGGATGTAGATTCCTACACAGCCAGCACTGGATGCTGACCTGGGAGGTCTCTCCAGTCTTGTGCTTCTCCAAGACACGGAGAACTTTGATGTTTACTGACATACTTTGGTCTGTCCAAGCAGGATAGACCCAAGACAGAGGACAGAGGAGCAGATCCTTGCATGGTTATAGCTGACTGCAGTCAGCTTGTTTGTTTGAGGGACTGAAGGGTCTAAAGAACAGGAAGAGCTGGTTCAGGAACAGCCAGTCCACTCAGCCAATGCCTTTGGAGTAAGGCAGGAACAGCTGCTCTCATGCACAGCAAGCAGGAATGTGCCATTCTGCCACTGCCACTTCAGGCCAATGTCTGCTGGGGGTGTTCGAGGAGTGAAAGCCAACAGGATCCCAGAAGTGTCTCTGGAAGCTCTGTGCCCTGCTGGAGCTCCACACAGAGCTCACCTGGTCAGCCCTCCACCCACCTTCATGGACAAGTCCCACTCCCCTTGCAGAGCCCAAAAAATGGGACTTAGGCTCCATGGACCCACCCAGAAGGGTAAGGGCAGTTCACCCAGACTGTCCTAACCCTTCAAACAGGCTCCAGCCGTCCCAGCCTGCCCTCCTGACAGAGCTGTGCCCTCCAGCAGCTGGGGCTGTGCACAGGGAAACTCTGTCCTTGGCTCAGCTCTGCTTGGAGCTGCTGATCAGACCAGGGGCTCCCAGAGGCACGTGGACAACGGGGGCCACAGGAGCAGAGCTGAGTCCCAGCTGGTGCAGTCCCAGCTGGTGCATCCCCTCTGCTCCTGCCACACGGGGCAGGCTCTGAGCTGCCTTTTGCTGCACACAGACCTGGGAAGTCCCTCACACCAGGGACAGCCATCTGGCCCCGGGCAAGGCTCTTCCCAAGGGGACCCAGTCCCCCTGAACAGCGGGATCAGGACTGGGGCTGACAACAGCAACGTCCCCCATCCTGCCCGTGAGCAGGAAGGGTTCCACGGCACCCCTGGCCCCCAAACACCCCCAGCACACCCAGGAGGTTTGAGCACAGTTCCAGCTGGGTACTTACTTTTTCCACCTCGTCGTTCCAAAGCTGCAGGGGCCACAGAGCAACAGGAAAGGAGGTCAGTGTTGGAGACGTCGAGAGGCACTTGGCATTTACACCAGTGGGCAAGGATGCTCCTTGGACACAGCAGGCCAACTCCAGGGACAAGCTAGCCCTTCACCCAGCAGCAGCTGCCACATCCATGCCCCTTCCCCTCATTCCTGCACCCTCGAGCTCAGTTTCACAATTGAGAGAGCAAATCCAGAGCCAGGGCTGGTACAGCCACTGCATTCCACGGGCTCCAGGAAAACAAGGATTTACAGCAGAGTCCTCTGCACAGCAAGGGTCACTTTACTGAAGCTGCAGAGGTTGGTGTTGAAAGACAGCCCTTTTTTTTAGGATTGTGGGGAGGCAAGTGAGGTGCTCGAGCCCATGGATAGGGCCTGGGAGCTGCCATGAGCTCAGGCCAGACAGAGCCTGGTGTTCCTCACCCACAGGTCCAGAGAGCTCAGATAAATGGGATAATCCAGCCAGTCTGCACTGGAAACAGGCCTGTTCAGTACAGCAAGGAGGAAATGAGGGCTGGATGCTTCCTCTGAGCCAGGCACAACATCCCACAACTCTTTCCTACACCCACAGGGCACACTCAGGGCAGCTGCTCATGGGATCTGGCCCCAGGACATGAAACAATGGACAAGTCACACACAGCAACGGGAAAGGGAGAGAGGAGCCAGAAAAACACATTGATCCTTCCCAGAGGTCCTCGGCTTGGCCTTCCCTCAGCAGACAACCCCTCAGTCCTGGCAGCCTGAAATCACCCTGCACTGACTGGGAGCCAGCAAGCAACACCCCACACCAGTGGGGCTGGGGAATGGCCTCTGTGGAGCTCAGCTTCACCCCTGCTGTCCCCTCTGCAGGCCAGGGAAGGTCACCAGAGCAGGGCTGAATTTGCAGGGGGGGCACCTGTGCTGGACATGTCAGGCCCATTTAATCAGTGCAGCACCCTCTGAATTTGTCCTCCCCCACCCCAGGCTCAAGCCAGAGGAACCCTCCCTAAGGTACTCAATCTGTTTTTCTTGGAATCGTTCCTAGGAATAAGAGCATAGCAGGTCTGAGAGAAAGGGATATTTGGGTTTACACAGCCCACATACACCTTCTTACACAAAAACAAAAGGTCAGTGTGGGAGAGAGGAGAAATGACTCCTCAGCCTCCAGCTTATACAAAAGAAGGGAGGTGCTTTTCTCTTGGATCTAATTCCATCTGAGCCCTCCTGTCATGGAAGGGGAAAAAAATAAAAATAAAAGCACTGTGTTATCCACCTCTCCAGAAACCAACAACAGGAATTTAGAATCCAAATCAGAGCCCTGCTGAGGGCTTGTGGTCCAGGAGAGAGCTGAGCTGTTTGCTCCCCTGCAGGACCAAGCTGTTCCCTGGGGCACAAACAATCCCTCCCTCCAGAAAGGAGCTGAGCTCCAGAGCCAGGGGAGCAGCAGCCACTGCTCTGCACTGGCAGAGCACACCAAGACTGAATAACACAAGGACTCTGGCCTGGAAGAGAAGCAGAGCAACAGGATGAAGAGCTCCTACCTTGCTGCAGTGCCTGACCCCTTGGGATGAATGCTGGGATTAGAGAGCTCGCTGCAAAGCAGCTCTGCCTGCACAGGGAGCAGCCTGGGCTCAGCCCATGTTCTGCTAATTAGAGATGCAAACTGCTATTCAGGTCACCCCTGCCAGTGCAGTTGGACTTCAGGGAGCCCTTCACCCCCCAGCTGTAGCCTCTGGAATAGTCTTGGAAGCCACAAGGCCTGTCACTGGCCAGGCCAGCACGTTTCTCACGGGCACTCCTGGTCGGAGGCCCTGCTGTGCAACCACCCAACGTAATCCAGCGCTCAAGGGCAGCACTGGCTGCTTTCCTGGAGCCCTGCTCTGACTGCCCAGTGCCATCAGCACTAGCAGAGCTCTGAACTAGGCAGAGACATCCCAGGGTCGACACTTGACTGCTAAAAACCTCTCAAAATCTGTTTCTCCTGCCGTGTTACTGTCCTTGGCACCTGTTCCCCCAATACAGCAAAAGCAGATCCAGCTGCAGTTTGGTGATGAGGGCTGGAATGCTCAGCTGAGCATCTGGGCACTCCACAGGATGCCAATGCACATTTGTACAAATGCTTGTCTTCAGGTCTGCTTCAGCCCTGGGGAATGGTCAGGATACCCTGGTCTATCCAGAGGCAGGGAAAGCCCAGTCTCTCTCCTCTGATTCTTCTAGAGCTTAATTGCAGTCCATTATCACACTGCCCCAGACCTTCCCAAGGGAGGAGCCAGAGCCACAGGCTGGTTGTGAGCTGCTGCACTAGGAAAAGAGAGAACTGAGCAGTTTCTACAGCATCAACAGTATCAGCTTCTTCCTCAGGGCTCTGACCACTAAGCCTGTTACCGATGGAAATGGTTTCCTAGGTATTGTGCAAAGCTAGTTCTGATCCCAGCATCACTCTCCAAGAAGGTCAGGACAGATCCCCCTGGGAACTAACACTGATGCTATCAGCTCAGACACACCTTTTTCTCCAAATGGGATGAGTTTTCCATTAACCAAATCCAACTTGTTTCCACGGCCGTTTTCGTTTGCGAGAAGGCTGCGCTGCCCTTTTTTCGTACCTACAGATCCCCCTTCCCAGATTGCTCCTATTACCAGGCATCAGTGTTGTTCTGAATGCTAGTTAGGAAGCAAGATGAGCAGTTTTCAACATTTTAACGAGAAATGTGGCACTGTGCAATGGGGAACTGTGAACACACAGCAGGGGCAGCTGATTGCTTGGCCACGACCCCCTGTGCAGCAGAGCGGAGACGCCACGGGCTGCTCACCCACCCCCAGCACATCTGGCCCTGTGACAGCTGCCAACAGACAGGCCCCAGGATGGAAGGGGGAAAAAAAAATCACTTCTATTTGCAGAATAGACAAGCCTGCACTGGTGGCAGAGAGATTCCTCCACCTTTGCTTCTCTTGGCCAGCTACAAAGCCTCTGACACCACAGCACGGACCAGGCGTGTGGCACTGCCAGTGTGCAGCTGGAACTGCCCAGACAGGCCAGCCACGGAGGCTTTTTCTTTTCAGTTGCTCCCCTAGCAATAAAAACCAGTCAGCAGATTCCCACTAGAAATGTAGAAGAGGCCTGGCAGGGAAGCTGCTCTGGGAAGCAAACCAAGCAGCACAAAGGGGTGACCTGAATCCTTGAGGGTGAGTCAGAGGAACCTGGGGCAGCCCACGTCACATTAAAATGTTGAAAACAGCAGAGCACTAGGTCTAAGTTGAAGTCAGGTAGAGAGAGGGGCAGGAAGAGGTTGGAGAGGCAACACCCAGGGGGAGGCAGGAGGCAGATCTTACCGCTGAGGCGCTGGCGGAGAGCACGTAATTACGAGGTCTGGTTTCCTGAAAGTCAGGCACAGCCTGGGGGGGAATAGAGGGTCATGTACAAGGCACCAGAGGAGGCAACAGGAGTCAGTGGGCGATGGATGGAACAGGAGGCTAAAAGCTTTTGTCCTGTCTGTGCTGGGAGCTGAGCTCAGATTCTGGAGGTGGCAGGAGGGAGTTCTCCCTCCCTCTGAGCAGTGGTGTGTGGAAGCCAGGCTGGAGCAGGAGGAGGTGGACTGGCTCACACGGTCACACCTGGTACCTGAACAGCAGCTGCTTCTACTGTTAGAAACTCTGCTTACAGCTCACACAGCAGCCCAGAGTGAGGACGGGACAGCACAATCCCAATGCACTTCCCATTCCCTTCCAGCCAGCAGGATGCTCATGTTGTGTTGGCTCAGTCTGGTGGGCAGGACATTCCTTCCCCTTGATTCCTGCCAACAGTCCTATAAATGTCACTGTTCAGGGCCTTGTCTTTAAAGCAGGAACGTTTACCAGCATTGGAGCATCCTTTCCACAGTGTCTTTGAGAGACACATTCACTGTTCTCACTCTCTCCAGGCCTCTGGGCACAATTCCTCCCAACAGACCCACCCCTACCATTTCCAGGAAGGCACATGGCTCAACCAAACCAGTTCTAGCCAAAGGCAAGTGCGTGAATTTTCATCCCAGAGGTCACAAAAACCTCCAAGCCACCTTCTCCATAGCTAAACCTCTGCCCTGGGGCAGGAAGACTTAAGCCCTCTGGAGGTTTTCCTCCTTGAGAATGCCATGGATTCATCCACCCCCACACAGGTGTGGGCTCACTACCTACCACATAACGTGGTCTGCTGAGCTAAGCTAAGACTAGAGCTCCTCCTAGGTCATGACCTAGGACAGCTTTTGGCTGTAGCATCACCTGAAGAGAGAATCCACCCAGCTGCCCTAGGTCAGGAATACCCAGGGCATCCTCCTGCTCAGCCCTTGCTGCACAGTGGCTGCTGTGCACGGCTGGCACCAGTCCTGCTGCATCCCAGCTATGCTGTTAATCCTCTCAGATCCCACGTTTCCTCTCCCAGGTTAATCTCCCTGCAGTCACCCAGATCTGCTTACACACACACACTGACCCAGTTTGCTGGGCCCTGAGCAGCCTGCAGGACGAGTGACCAGTGTGTGCCAGAGCATCAGGAAGGCCCAACAAGAACAGATTTTTTTATTTTCTTTTTTTTTTTATATGCCATTTAGGAGTTTTGGGGATGGCTGGAGGGAAGGAATAAGGAGGAGCAATTCCTAAAAAAGTCAAACTTGAATACAGGGAGAAAAATGCACCAGTGAGATTTGAGGCCAGCAAAGCAACTGGGCTGGACTCCTCCCTGTGGGCAGAAGGGATGTGTCACAGATATAGCTGCTTATGCTTTTTGGTTTTTTAAAGATTAAGAGCCACTGAAGAAAGCTCTCCTCCCATTCCCTGGTCTCCAGGGAGTCCCCAAACCACTCACAGCACATGGGATGAAGGAGGCAAGCTTCTCTTGTACTTCTGTGCATGGAGAAGTTGTATTTGCAAGCAGTGGTCAAAAGGGACCCACCTCCCTCCCCCTTCCACCCTTGTAAGAGCCTGGAGGACAGAACAGCACCACAACCAGATCATCCTGCCTGTCATTGTCTCTGGGCTGCCCTTCTGGGATTGGCCACCCAATCCCAGCTCCTCCTGCCTGGAGCTGGAGGAGCCCAAGGGGGTCTGTAGGGGAGCCCCTGCCTCTGTTGAGCACTGCTTGCAGGAGCGTGGATGGACCCAAGGGATGCTCCAGAGGGGCTGCAGGCAGCTGGGATCCTTCTGGAGCACCTTCCCAGGCAGCCATGGCCCTGACCACGCTCAGAACATGCTGCAGGGCCGGTCCCAAAGGGACAAAGGAGATATGGAATTTTCTTTTAAAAATGCAAAAGAGACAATGAGAGGTGTTAAAGGAAAAAAAAAAAAAACCAAAACCACAGCACCGTTAGCACAGTCAATACTCACATCTCCCTCACACTGAGCAAATTACAAAGAAACAAAACAAAAAGGTTAGTGAACAAAACAGCATCAACAGGAAGGACAAAGCACAAAGTCCAGGGGAAATGCACAAGCCCAGATGCTCCAAGGGCAGCTCTGGGGTCTGGGCAGCAGCACTGGGAGGGTCACCACGAGACAGAAGCTGTGGGAACACCAGTTTGCACCACAGAGGGGAAGAGCAGCAAGAGAGGGGTGAGCTGGCATATTGGGGATACTTCAGCTTGGATGGGGAGGTGTGACCCAGGACTCCAGGCGTGTTACAGGGAATGCTGTGGTCTAGTGATGAGTTAAGGTCCCTAGAGCAGGGGCAGAAGTTCTCCCCAGGGCTGGGAGCTTCCACCTTGTCCTCTGGCAGTCAGGGAGGCACAAATCATCCAGCAGCCCTGATCAGTCAGGAGGCAGGAGCCTGGGACAAGTACAAGTTTCCAGACCCTGGAAGCTCAGAACTGTTTGTTTCAGCAACTCTCCCAAGGGAGGAGATTTCAGGAAGAGGCATGTGGCTCCTGCTCTCAGTTTTCCTCACACACCAGACAAGGAATTCCCCCACCCCTGCCTTCCAGGGGCAGGACACAGTAGGGCAACCTGATTTTTGACCATGTGAGCCAAGCCCTGGGGCCAGAAGGGACAGGGAGGGGAAGGAGGGGAAGAGTTACCGCTGCTTTTGCCTCGGCAGCTTTGGCCTTCTTCAACCTGGCCTTGCAGGCGTCCAGGTCCAGGCGGCGGTTCTGCAGGATCCTCCGCTCCTTCTGCAAGGGACACAGCTTGGGTAAGAGCAGATGGCCCAGGAGCAGGGTTGGGGAGGGAAGGGGACATGGAATCATCTAGGAATGGGATCTATTTCCCTGTCAAAAAATGCCAGGGAGAAAGAAGCAGTTGCTACGTTTATCTCCCTGAGAAAGAGCTTTGGGCCTGGCTGCCAGGGATACAGGATAACCTTCTGGAAACAGGGCACCCTCTGGGTGGGTGGAGCTGCAGGAGCTGAGAAATGAGTTACCTTTCTCCTGCACATCAGCTGGCAATCCTTCCCTGCTGGAGAGGGAACCCTGGGCAGATCTAGGATTGGTATTCCCCCATCCTTGCATTCTTTAAGAGGGAAGGTGTGGAGTCATCCTTTCTCACAGGGAAAGAAAATGGGTTCTTCCAGCACTATTTCCCTCAATCCCTGCCCTCCTTGGCTCCAGTGACGTGACAACCTCCCCCTTCCCTGCTTCCACACTCACAGAGATGGTTTTCCAGTCCCCTTCCAGGAAGTTGCGCAGTGGGGTCAGGAAGTTGATGGAGGCAGAGCGGATGAATTCCCGTTCTGCTGCACCCAAGCGCCTCTGGGTCTCTCCAACTTTTATCAAGGTCTTTCCTGCAATAAAAGGAACCCTCAGCTCCAGGAAAAACCCATGAACACCGTGTTGGCTTCAGCCAACTCCCCCAGAGCCTGACCACGGTCTGCTCTTGGCCTGAAGCCTCTTCTCACTGCTCCCAGGGCAGCTCTGATCTCATCCATCTGCTGAGCCACTTATGTCCTTTTACTGCTCAACCTGCTTGCACAGAACGATCCTTCTTTGCCTCATAAAACAGAGGCACAGGAACAGAGCAGCAAATTAAAAAGCACCAGAGCAGAAAACATGAGCTGATGAGGCAGTGTGGGCTATGGGTGCAGCTACAGCTGCTCTGCCTGGAACAGGATTCAATATTGAACAACTATTGATCTGGAGAGCAGGAACAAAGCCCGTGGCAGAGGCAAGGACAGCTGGAAGGGAAGGCTGTGTTTCTGTGCAGGTCTGCTGCTTAAGGAAGCCCAAAATCCCCCCAGGAAGAGACAACTATTAGGATTTAAGAACAGAAGGATGTTCTGTGTGGTTCAGGAAGGGGCCTGTTGAGGCTTTTAGCTAAGCACCAAACTTCCAAGTCTGTTTTTCCTGTTCTCTTTCTGCTGGAGAAAGATTTCCACCCTCCACTTGCAGGATGCAGTGAAAGGATGGCTCTCCTGCTCAGAGTCTGGAGAAACTCTGTGCAAACAGACACCAGCTTGGACTAAAAATATGCTCAAATTGGATAAATCTAAAGCTATTCACTGCAATTCCCTGTTCAGGCTGGTTTAGAAAGCCACGGAAACAGCACAGAACAGTTTCTTCCCTTTTCCCCTGGAACAGGGAGCTTGGAAGTCAGGGAGCAAGCAGGAGCTGATTCCCTACGGGGCGCACTGCAGATGCCTCAACCCAAAGCACTGTTAGGGATACTCTCCCAGGAAGGGATGAATTCCTAGGATTTCTTAATTAGCCAGGCTGACTTACCATAAGGTGTCCCTGGCCCAAAGTCATTGGCTGCTTCTGTCATGTACTGTGCCAGCAGCTCCCCGTTGGTGACCCGGGAAGGCACCTTCCGGTCGAGCTTCTCGTACAGGAATTCCTCTACTCTGGCACCTGGAACGAGGACACCAGGGAGGCTGAAACGGGGATCCCTGAAGTGGCACTCAGGGAATCCCACCCCATGCAGTCCTCAGGGATGCACTGGTGTCCCTTCCCTGTTCCTCAGGAGCGCTGCCAGGCTGTGGTCACAGCCAGTCACCTCTCAGGGGCACAGAGAAGGAAGGACAGGCCTTACAAAGACACATTTCTTCTTCCAACCCTCACAAACTCAACGCAACAGGGCTCTCTGCCAGAGGGCAGGTCTTCTAGCACCGAGCTGCAAGTGGTATTTGTCCTTCAAGCCTTGGGAGAAGCTGGACTTACTGGGGTTTGGCTGTAGCAGGACCTCGGTCTGACGCAGGATCTTCTCTGTCCAGTTCTTCGTGCAGTCTGCCCTGGCCAGGAGGTTTTCAAAGTGGGCATCGAGTTCAGTCTTCTCAGCCTGGCCCAGCTTTTCTTCAGTAAACTGCAGGAAGAAGGGAATCATTAGGTCTGTCCTTCTAAAGCAGGTGTACAGCGTGCTACAGAGCTGGTAAGGGACAGCAAAGCTGCTTCTGTGTTGTGTATTTATCTTAGAATAGAGCTAAAAAGCCTTCATGGAGTCATTCGTTGCTCCCAGGCACCTTCCAGGTGAAGAGGGCAAATTTTTGCCCAAAATTGGAACAAGCATCGGGCTGGAAATAGAATCCAAGTTTGAGAGGTGTTCCAGAATAAGTAACTTTTAATAAGTCTGGTACAAAAATAGTGTAGTTGTGAGGGATCTACTTAAATATGCACATCCTGTGCAGTGACAAGGTTTGTCAGGCTGGAGGTGCAGTGTCAGATGGCCTGGACACCCCCAATTGCTTCCTTGGGGGAATTCCTGACACAAAGGCCCCTTGCCTCTCATCCCACCCCCATTTCCCACTTGTTCCCCTCAGTGAACCTGTCCAGCTTCAGTGTATTTTTAAGCACAGTTTTCTGCTTTTGATAGAACCCATGATGGATCACACTAAAAGACCCTTTAATCAGCTGTGCCACTTGGGACCCTACAGAGGCTCCAGTTGCCCTCTGACCTTGTTGCTGGTCTCTGGAGCCACTGCTGAGCTACCAGGATGTGGTGATGTGCAGCAGTGGTACAGTCAGATGCTAAGAGGTTAAAGCCTGGCTCAACTGATGAAGATGAAAATACAACTGTCTGATGTAGCACCTGTCCCTTTGCTCTGCTCCCCTGCCCCAGAGCTCAGCAACAGATGGGCCAAGATGTCCTTTCCATGGGTCAGCTGCCCTTGCTGAAAGGCTTTGTGGCCAGCTCTGTTCCTTTCCCATCCAGCATAGCTGGGAACCCAGTGAGATAAGGAACAGGCTGGAGCAGGGACAAACAGCCTTGGGGAGTCCTGTTACCAGCCCTGCCTGTCACCAGATGCCTGAGATACACAAGCCCTGCAGGTATGTTTACACAGTGACCTGTTTGGGCAGGATTCAAGCTGCAGCCAGGGAAGTGCTTTGCCAGATGTGGGTGGTGACAAGATCCTCAGCTGCAAGGACAGTCACGCTCCCTCCTGCACCACCAGGGATGGTTTCATTGCTCTTGCCATGACCCCTGGGCACAGGTAAAAGCACATTCAAGGTGAGAGGGTGTCTGTATTGTTCTGTACCCACATCTGTGGTTGTATTTGGGGGACACACACGATGCATGAGCGGCTGTCGCTGCCTCCCCCTGTCCTTGCTGGCAGCCCAGGGCTGTTTTCAGACTCTGCCAGGCTGGGCTGAGTCACTGCCATGCAGCAAACTGGGACTTCCCAGGTATTTGGCACCAATTCTTGAGTCATCTGTTTGAGAGCTTTCTTAAACAAGCCAAGGCTCTTTGATGCAAAACAGTCTCTCTCGCCCCCCTTTCCCAGATCTCATCTCACTTTCAAGTCCATCTCTTGTTCCTGCAGTTTAGGCTCATCCTGCATCAGCATCTGCCCTGGAGCTGTCAAGCCTAAACCCGGTTTCTTATCAGCTGAAATTAGTCAGCTTCTTACAGCATTGCTGCAGTGTCAGATCACTGCCCAAGCCCTCCAGCACCTCCTCAGTGCCACTGCCAGTGTCCTGAGCCAGCTCTGGGCTCCTTTGCTTTATTCACAAGCAGCATCTTTGGCATCACTGTCCTCTGAGGATGTTTTGTGTAACCCAACTCTGGGGTCACAGCACAGGGCTCAGCCAGGACTCCAAACTCAGTTCTTATCTCAGGTCAGGCTCTGAAGCTGTGAGGGCAGCACCACTGCAAGCCTGGGGGCTATGCCAGAAAGGGAGGATGGGCAGGAATCTGTCCCAGCCTGTGGCTCCAAAGGGTCAGGCCAGAAAACAATCTCTTATTCAGGCTTTCTTTCCATGCTGGAGGCAGGGCATGACCATCAGGAAGCTGGTGCAAGGGCATGGGAGGCTGTGGCTCCACTTACACTCAATTCCCTCAGGGTCTCCCTGACCCCTGCCCAGCAGTCAGATGTGCTGAGGGCCAGCCCAGGCACAGCCCTGGGCAGTTGGTACCTCACTGCAGGTTGCTGCAGGGTCTGCTCTCCCTGCAGCACACATCCCTCTCCTTCCCTGTGCGTGGGGAGTCCCTGATCCAGCTCAACTTGACCTCCAATGTGACTTTTTAGATCAATCAGAGAACCCACTGACTTCCCAGCACCAGTGGGAATGTGCCACCAGGTGCAGGGGAGACCAGGACCACCTCCTGCAGGAGCAGCTTGCTGGGAGATCAGATGAAACCTCTCCTGGAAGCACAGCCAGCGCAGGAGATTGCAGGTAAGTGCCACTGACCTATCCTAGGAGCTGGTTCTTGTCTGGAGCAAATGGAAATCTGAGCTTTTAGGTGGCAACAGGTCTCAGCTGCTGGTCCCCTCTTACCTGGCTGCCCAGTGAAAAGCAGGGTAGAACAGCAGGGATTTCTATTTCTGAGAATTTGTTTCCATAGCACAGAAATTTCATTGCACAGACACAAGATTTGTGCCCGAGATTTGAGGCCAGGAGGTGCAGAACAGATGAGCTGATCATACACTCACAGCTCCTGACTGTAAAAGTCACATTTAGAGGATATTATATCTTGCTGCTCCTGCACTTAGAGGCACTGCTGTATTTTGCAGCAGACTGCCACAAATGGGAGTGTTATTTGGTTTTATCAAGTTGATCTGCTTGGTGCAGATCCACTGGGAGATAGGCAGGGCCAGCAGAGCAAAGGCAATTGCAATGCTGAGGAGAACCTTCAGCTCCTCCACCCTGCTGTGGCAGAACTACTCCCATTTGTTTTCCAGAACACAATGATTGGGTCAACAGCTCCAGCCCAGGATCTGCATCCTGGGATCCCGTGCCAGGTGGCAGAGCTGAGAGGCTCAGGAAACGTCCCTGCGCTGACCCAGGGAGCTGAGGGGGATTAATAATGCAGGGCAGCCTTTTGTCAGTGCTACTCTCACTCTCCAGGAAGAGGAGAGAGCAGAGCTGCATTCCAGGACATCAATAATTCAGCCAAAGGTTGGGTTTCCTCTGGAAGGTTGGCTGGCCAGCAGGAACACGAGATACATTATCGGGGCCCCTGTGGGTAAACAGGGTGACCCAGCAGGAGAGCAGCACTTGGGCCACAGGCCCAAAAGGAGCAAGGCAGTGCTAGACTGCAGTTAGGGCAGCTGCCCTGGGCATTCTCAGCTTGGGGAAAACCCCCTTCCCCCAAGAGAGCTGATAGACACACGGTTGGGAAGTCAGGAGGGTCAGTCCGAAGTGCTGAGCTGGAGGGGGTCCCTCTGCACTGCAGGCACAGGATCAAACAGGCTGGGCCTTCAGCCCTCTGACTTCAGGCCATCAGGATTAGGCTTTAAAATAGCACTGTGTTGTTTCCTTTGCTGAAAGCATTAGCACCTTTCTCTGCTTCAAAGCAAGGGGAATAAAATCCCAGTGTTCCCACTGAGTTATGCCACTACCACAGCTGTTTTGGGCAGTGCTGCACCAGCTGATAGGTGCCTTTTCCAGGATCCTGTGATTTTTTTTTTCCCATCCCTCCTTCTCCATTTGGCCCAGGCCTGAGCACTGTGGCTCTGACAGCCCCCTTGCAGAGGATCTGGTGGCCCTTTTACCACTTGCAGGGTACCCATTTTTTCCCCAACTAAACATTACTTAAAACTTTCCACCTTTAAATTAGGAAGAACAAACTAGGGCCAGGAGTCTTGAATCAAGAATAGTCTTTTGTACCTGCCAGCTGATTTTGGCTGTTGGGTTTTCTGAAGCCTCCAAATAGCTCAGAATGCCCAGGCTATGGTAAGACAGTAACATTTGATCTTCCAGTGATCAGAGGCACAACAGAATCAACTGAGGCCAACCTACCTCCCACAAGAGGAAGCCACAGCCACTCAGTCAGCACCTAAAAACTACCTGAATTTCAATAACTCTGGACCACATACAGAGTATTTGGCCACCAGGAATCAGGAAAGGCAGGCTGGGAGCCAAGAGAAACTGTGCTAGAGGACAGAAGGAAGCCATTACCAGGACAGCTTGGTTAACTCATGAGCAAAGCATTCAGGAGAGGAAAAAAAAACCAACACTGCGGTGGTGGGTTGACCTTGGCTGGACATCAGGTGACCACCAAGCTGCTCTATCAGTTCCCTCCTCAGCAGAACGGGGGTGTCAAAATAAGACGGGGAAACCTCACAGGTCAAGATAAAGGCAGATTAACAAACCAAAAGTTGTGTGTGGAAGCAAAGGAAACCAAAAGATGTCATTCTCTACTTCCCATCAGCAGGTGATGTCTGGCCACTTCCCAGCCTCAGTACGAGCAGTGGTGACTCTCCAGAAGAGAAATGTTGAACATAATGAATGTTCCCCTTTCTAATTTCTCTTAGGTTTTACTGTTGAGCAGATGCCATATGGTCTGTTGGGTCAGTTTGGGTCAGCTGTCCTGCCTGCATCCCCTGCCAAGGTCTTGAAGTGTTAAAGTGTCATCCCCAGGAAGGTCAGTAAGCAGAGGGTCTGTTTTATCTATTAATGAAATTGTCTCTTGTGCCACCAGAGCTCGGGGAGATGGGGGAGTCTGTCAGTCTGCAGGGGCTTGAGGGTAAAGCCAACCTCGAGTTGCTACAGTAATGACATTAGCGGTGGGATAAGTGCCCACCAGCTGTACTCACACTTTCACCCAGAGCCATTTACATCAAAACTGATAAAAGACAGACACCTACAATTATTTCCAGACCTCCCTGAGAGAGCCTGGCTTGCAGCCTGTCTTAGAACAGAGACACCCAATGCGTTGCCACAGAGCTTCCTCTGCTGGGGTTGGGGATCAGCCCCACTCCCTGGTAACTGGAAGGTGCAGCTGATCAAAGAGAAAGGCCTTTCTTCAGTGAAGATGAAGAGTGACCTGTCTGAAGTCTGTCTGCAGGTGCTGCATCCCCTCTGAGGATTTGATGGCTGCAACTGGTAGTTCAAGTGTCAGCACAGTACGTCCTCAGGTGAGATGCTGAATCCTGCAGGTCTGGATTAGGATTTGGTCAAGCCTAGTCCAAAATCCTTCACCCAGCCACCTGCACTGGGTTGTATTTGACAGGTTTCAAACCAGGACTGCTCCTGCCCTGAGCCACCCCAGGGGTGTTGTGCTGGCCATGCTCTGCCTCATTTTCCCCTTGCTGGGCCCAAATTCCAGTTGGAGCAAAGCTCTCGTGTGCTGGTCAGACAGCTCAGGCAGACAGCAGGAGCTAATGCTGTCTGAGTGGTACAGCACATAATGGCCAGTCCATTTATCTCCCAGTCGCTGCAGTTCCAGTAAAACATGACTTTGTTAAATGCCTGGAGCTGGGGAAACCATCTCCAGTGCTACAGAAAGCAGCTCTTTCTAGATTGGTCTTGTTCCCATCCTAGAAGATCTGCAGTGCTCAGGAGTGCTACAAACCCAGCCCTTGCTGCCCACACAGACCTCAGCAGTCACCTGTGGCTCTGGGGGGAGACAGGGCAGAGCTCACCCCCTCCAGAGGACTCCGTGGGGACACGAACAGGCTGAATTCCCCCAGCAATGACACCTCACAAAGCGGGTTTTTTCAGCCTCAGTGATCTCCTTCCTTCCCCCAACACCTGCACGCTGTCCACAAGCAGCAGCGCTCCCTCGGTTTCAAGAAATTACTACTCTAATTAGGCACATGAATATTCATGTACAAGCCAGTGGAGTAGGTGTAGAGGCTGAAGCCACAATTTATAAACGCCTCCTTGCTGTGGAATCACTGTGTGCAGACACTGTTCCCAGGCCTGTCTCCTTCCTACGCCTTAGGAGCTAAAAAACACTTATCAGAGACTTACAATAAGGCTCCTAAACATGAAATTTCTTCACAGCCTTTCTTCTGCTACCAAGGTCATTCGCATGAGAACGGCACCTTTGGGCCTCCCATCTGCTCCTTGTTTTGCACCTGTAGTTTTAATATCTCCCCTTTTCATGGCATATGACTTGCTGGCATGGTGACAGGAGGTGATATCTGCTTACAGGAGACCAGTTCCCAACACAGCCGGAATTACTCCAGTGCACAGAAGGTCTGGAACGAGGCAGCTCTGCTCTGTTTGTTTACCAGCCCCCACGCAAGAAGCCCAGTCCCAGAGCCACCAGCTGGACTTCACTTTCCAGGCAGGATCCCAACCAGTCCTGACCTGCCTCTCCTGCCCATCTAAGAGCAGTTTTCCATTATTATGCCCAAGAGTTGGGCACTCTCGGCAGCCCCATCTCACCACCTGCTGCTCACAGGTACCCAAGTATCTTCACAGCTCCAGGAGGACCACTTCATCCACAAGCAGCTCCTGATCTCAAGTTTGTGAATCACAGAATATCGTGAGTTGGCAGGGATCCACGAGAACTATCCAGTCCAACTCCTGGCCCTGCACAGACATCCCAACAATCCCACCCTGTTCCTGAGAGTGCTGTCCAAACCCTCCTGGAGCTCTGGCAGCCTTGGGGCTGTGACCACTGCCCTGGGGAGCCTGTTCAGTGCCCGACCACACTTTGCCTGATATCCAGCTTAAACCTCCCCTGGCGCAGCTTCAGCCATTCCCTGGGATGATCCTGCTGCTACAGCAGCCCACAGAGACCCGTCCTGCTCCACCTCAGCAGCTCCATCCCATCCCTTGGAACAGCACGGTGTTTGCCAGGGCCTGGGGTCTCCTGCTCCTCCCGAGGGGCTGAAGAGCAGAGCAGCTCCAAGGCACCCTCGCCACACCCCCCAGCGCCAGGGAGCATCGCACAGAACCACTGAGTGGTTTGGGCTGGAAGAGAACTCTGGAGATCCCCCAGTCCAGCCCCGAGGCAGCGTCACCCGGAGCAGGTGTCACAGGAACCGGGGGGGTTTGGGATGAGTCCAGAGAGGGAGACTCCTCGCCCTCGCTGGGCATCCTGTTCCAGAGCTCTGCCGCCCTTTCCCGGTGGGTGTGGGCACGGACAACAGCAGCTGAGCGCGAGATCAGCTCCTCTTGAAGAACAACAACCCTCAGGTACAGCGGCCGCCCGCACTCCCGTCCCTGCTCAGCATCATCCCCGGGGCTGATCCCTCGGGACCCTCCCGGGGTGGTGCCTCTGCGAGGGATGCTCCGGGGCCTGCGGCTCAGCCAGACGGGCCCACCCAGCCCCGATCTCCCCCACCCAGCCCCGATCTCCCCCTCCCACTCCCCCCGGGCCCGGCCAAACCTCCTCGGGCCTGCACCCGCGGGTCCTCCCCCTCCGCCCGCCCCGCCGTTGCCATGGCGCCCCGGCTCCCCTCACCTGCATGGCGCGGGAGAAGAAAACCCCGGCGTCCGACGCCAGTTTCTTCACGTTGAACTCCATGTCGGCCGCGGAGCCGCCCCGGCCGCGCCGCGCCCCCGTTGTCACCGCGCCCGCCGCGCCGCCGCCTTTTATAGCGCCGGCCCCGCGCCTCTTCAAAGGGGCTGCTTCAGCCGCGGGGTCCGTCCCCCACCCCGCTGAACGGCGCGGCGGGTGCGGCCGCTTTAAGGCAGGGGAACTGTCAGCGCGCGCCAATGGCCGCTCGCGCCGCGCCGCGCCGCCCGCTTCCCCTCGCGCTCCGCCGCCGCATCCCCCGAGCCGGGCGCGCTCCCATTGGCCGGGAGGGCGCTTTGGGGGCGTGGCCTTGCGGAGGCCCCGCCCCCGTGTGGGGGGGGGGCTGCGGCGCGGGGGAAGGAGACGCTGCCCTTCCGCGGCCATGGCGGGCGGCGGGGCCCGCCCGGCCGGAGGGGCCCGAGCACCCCCCGCACCCCCGCAGCGGTGAGTGGGGCCTCTCTCCAGCCCTGCCATGCCCTGCCCGCCGGGCCGCACCACGGCCGGGGAGAGGGCGGGGGGGAGAAAGGAGAGGGGTCCGCCCGGGTGGAACCGGGCATGGGGGTGCGGGGGGTGCCGCGGGGGAGATGCTCGGTGGTGCGCGGGATGCGGGGGTGCGGGGATGCTCCGCGGGAGCGTTGGCAGGGCCCCGAGTGCTGCAGTGCGGGTGCGGGGGGTCCCGCGGGGCGCTCCCCGCACCGGGGGGCTGTGAAGCGGGGCTGGGGGGATTTGCGGGCCGGGGCGCTCCCGCAGTGCCGCTCCCGGCGCGGTGACCCCAAGGCTGTTCGCTGTGCCCGACCTCTCTCGCATTTGGCTCTTCTCAGCTGCGCTGTGGCCGGAGCGTTGTGTTTAACCTTGTGGGGAGCCCCTGCCCGGTCCCTGCGCGCTCCCTCTGCCTTCGGACCGGTCCCTGCTGTGCTCCCAGAGCGGGTTTGGGCAGTGGGGGGCGAGGGAGGGTCGGGCAGGGGCAGGGGTCGTCACACAGCTCTGGGGTCACACATCAGTGCTCTCCGTAGCTCTGTCCTTGAGCACATCCCTCCGGCCCAGCTCCCGGCAGAACTCTGAGCGAACTCCTGGTCAGACGCCCCTTGGTGCCTCTGAAGCAGGGCTGTGATGAACGGAAAGCAGAGTTTTGACAGTGAAAACGTGCCTGTTGTTATTTGTAATAATTGGGGTGAGGTTTTTTTATATGGGAACCGCGGACAAAATCCCCCCAGCCACGTGCAGCCAGCTCTGGTGTGTGTAGAAATCTCTGGCAGGTATCAAATCCCAGCGTGCTGCTGCTGCTGCACAGCAGTTTGGGAATGTGCCCCTGTGGTTGGCAGGAGAAGCAAAGGAATTGCTGCTGTTGGTGAGAAGATGGTTTAGATCTCCTGCTGGGCACTTCTGCTCCAAGGGAGCCGGTGTGTGGTTTGTGAAGTGCAGTACAAGGAGTGTGTCCCTCACTCACCCAATTTTTCCCCTCTTCCCACAGGATGGGGACTGCTGGACGAAGGCCAACCCCAGGACTTGGAGCCAGACGTCAGAGAGAAGCTGGATTCCCTTGTGAGCAGCTCCCACAGCCCCCACAAGTGCCCTTCCCCTCGGCAGCTCCGGGAGGTGCCAAGGTCCCGGTGCAGACATGGCATTTAGGAGGACAGAGGGAATGTCCATCATGCAGGCCTTGGCCATGACCGTGGCAGAGATCCCCGTGTTTGTTTACACGACTTTTGGGCAGGTACAACAAAAGGCTTTCCCGTCCCAGCCCTTGGGTTTGCTCTGTGGGGTTGTGAGGGATGGAGGCACAGTGGGGGTGGCGCTGGGGGTTTGCAGTTTGAGGGTTTGGAATAATTGCTGGGAGACTTTGGACTGGTGGAAGAAAGTTGCTCAGGGTGGGCTTGGAGAGGGGAGAGAAGCTGTTCCCACATCCCTCCCTGGGGAACGCCTGAGTTCAACCTCTCCCTTCATCAGGAGTGCTAAAAAAAGACCTTTCTTTGAAAGAAGAGTAACGTATTTCCCACTTGTAGCAACGCAACGCTGGGAGCAATAAAGCTCAGCTTTATAAAGCACACCAGGCTTTCCAAGCTTGTTTTGGGTAACCGGGATTGCATCTGCTAGGGGCTGTGTGCAGATTTGGCAGCGTGTTGTGGTAACGAGGATGGAGACCAAGTTCTCCGGGTCCTGTCAAAATGACGCTGTGCAGTTTCTCTGCTGCTGAGTCTCGGTTGCGTGGCAGGCGCTGCCTGTGGGTGGGAGGGGAAAGCCGAGGTAGCTCGTGTTTAACACTGGGTTTTTTTGTTTAAAAAAAAAAAAAAAAAGGTGGTGGAATTGGATTTTCACTGTGGCTCTTTCCTATCTGTTGTGTTCCAAGTCTGTGTTCTCTCAGCTGAGACTCTCTCCAGGCCTGAGGAAGGTGCTGTTTGCCACAGCCCTGGGCACAGTTGCCTTGGCTCTTGCGGCTCATCAGCTGAAGCGCCGGCGCCGGCGGAAGAAGCAAATCGCTCCCGAGAAATGTGGATTTAAACCAGGAGGGATCACAGTGCCCATCCTGCCAACCAGAAGGGTCTCCTCCGTGAAGAAAGGTCAGCCTTGCAAGAAGGGAAACCCCCCCCCAATTCCATCTGTGAGGGTGCTCAGGGAGGCACGGGAAGTTCCTGACGGGAAAGCAAAGGCATTTGTGTGGTGCTTCGATGCAGAATGAAATGAGAAGCCTCAAGTTCAGTGCCACGAACACAAGAGTTTGGGGAGGGAAGGGAGAGACCCTGAGCTCAAAGTCTTTGGGGGACAGAAAGGTGACGGTGAGGTTTTCACCAAGGTTTGTGGTTCCCATCGCCCTTCCTGCAGACAGCCTGGGGCTTTCCCTGATAATAATGACCAGGCACAGGGTGACCTGGCTGCATATTGATCTGGTGATGCCAATGTGACGCCTCACCCAGGGTCCTGTGCTGAGCTCTGGGGAGGGGAGGGTGGCCTGGGCCAGGCTGGGAGGTCAGGAGTGTCTGTCCAGCTCTGTGGCAGCTCCGGGACCTTGGGCAGCTTCTTTACTTGCTTGATTTTTGGAGTAAAACTGGCCAAAGTCCTCAGCAAAGCACTTTAGGGATTAAGGATTTGGGTTGTGAAGCGTATGAAAATCTTGAGGCACTTTTAATAACAACCAAGGGAGCAATGTCTGTTCTCTGCCTGGCTGGGGGGAAGGTGGAGGAGTTTTTCCTTGGTTCTTTCTACTTGCCTTTTGCTATCCATAAGCAGTGAATTCAATCTTCAGCCTCAGTTTCTCACTGACAGCAGTTGTCTTAGTGTTTCACAGCAAAACAGAGCATAGAGGAGATCCATGACTTATTTTTAGCTATTGGATGCTGCTTTGCCCATTCACAGTCACGCTGGACAGGGTGATGTTCCCGTCCCTGTTCACAGCTCGAATCATCTGAGCCTAAAATCCTGTTTTTGTGTGACCTTCCCAACTGCAGGCTACTCCAGCAGGAGAGTCCAGAGCCCTGGCAGCAAGAGCAATGACACCCTCAGTGGGATTTCCTCCATTGAGCCCAGCAAACATTCCAGTTCCTCCCACAGCCTCACCTCGGTAAGGACCTTCTTGGCAGGGCTGGGAGATGTGAGTGCACGGACCTGTAACGAGATCACCAAGTCCTTGGGCTTGTGCTGGCCAGTGGAAAATGCCAAAGCCTGTGGAGCAGAACAGGTTACAGAGTAATTGTAGGGTGGGATCCGTCATTAACCTTGCACTGAGTGTCTGGAGTTCCTTCTGTGAAACCAGAGCAGCAACTTCCTGTAGCCAAGAACTCCAGGGAACACCCCAGTTCTTTGGCCAAGGAGGAGCTGCAGGAGGGACTTCCCTGTGGGACATGGGCACAGATCCTGTGACCCCCCTGAAGGAGTGAGGTTGGGTTGTTGCTGGTTCTCAAAGCAGTGTTTGCTTGTTTGCTTCCCTCTGTGGTGGGGGTTTGGGTGGCCCAGCAGCTCCTGTGCCAGCACAGCCCTCCAGTGCTGGGGCTGATCACAGGCTGCTTTGTTGTCAAAACCAAATTGACTACCAAAATCTGATAGCTCTGTTCAGGAAACAGCTTAGAACACAGCCTTGTCATTCTACCTCCTCCACAGCCAAAAGCAGCCTATAAATACAGGTAATTCAGGCTTAGCCAGACAGGAGGAGCCATCAGTGCTTATATCCACCTCTTGTGAGATTCAAAATGGATGTGTTTGTGGCTTCAAGACCTGTTTTACATCCCCATTGCTCAGAGCCTCAAGTTCTGCTGGAGCGGCAGGGGCACAGGTGAAGTTCTGTGATGGTGAAACCCTCCTTGTCTCGGAGCCTGGTTGGCACTGCTGGGGCAGGAGAGGGAAAGATCACCCCTTGGAAGGAAGGGATCTGTTGGGCACCAGCACCTCCAGGATGTGCAGCCACTGCTGTATTTAGTTAGAGCATCAAAAGTTGCCAGAGCCTGTGCGGTCCCGAGCGTGTCCCCAGCAGGCGGCAGTGCCGGCACAGCCCTGCTCCAGCATTCCCTGGGGAGCTGGGATGTGATGGGACATGTCAGCCAGGACCAGGCTCTGGCCTCGTTCCCCCTGCAGGGACTTTCACATCCATTTAATTCCCCCACGGCTTCTCCGTTCCCACAGATGCTGCCCAGGTTTTCTATTGCTGAAGTCTGTTTCTCTTTAGATTAAAAAAACTATCTAAGTTCCTTTTTCCACTGCTGGTGCCTGGGTGGGGAATATTCCCACAGGGAGGATCTGTTCCCATACCCCCTTCGTTGTGTGGGAGCTGAGTCTGTGACACTGTTCTTTACTGTTCCTTGATGGACAAACAGCTCATCCCTTCCACAGCTGCAGGTTTTACCTGTGGTCTCATCTGCTTCCTGGGGCTCCTCTTTGCCATCCAGTGAACTGATGATTCGCAGTTCTGGATCTCAAAGGGATTTCTTAACACTCCACAGGGATCAGTCAATGGAGGTGGGGCAAGAATTCATCTGTGAGCTGATTATTGCAGCTTTTTTCTAGCACCAGGCTCAAGTTTCTCTAAGCCCCACGCAAACACTGATCATGGATAGTGCTGAACCCAGCACTTCACTGGGTCAGACTTTAGGAGACATTGATGCCCTGGTGGGAAATTGGACAAAGCTGCCACTTTGCTGTGTGGATTGTAGTGCTCAGCCCTCCCTGGAGAGGGTTTGGTAACAAAGAGAAGAGCGAGGATTCTCCTTGCCCGCTGGGGATTCCTCAGCTGTCATTTTGCTGGGAATCTGTTCCTTTGTTTGGACTGTGGTTGTCTCCCCCCACTTCCAGTGGTTTTTTGTACAGACAGCTGGGGCTGACACGAGCTCTCCATCAAAATCCTGGTGCCTTAGTAGCAATTGCTTTGCAGCTTTCCCAGGGTGTCACCTCCATCAGTGCTCTCCTGCTCGTGCTCATCATTGTACAGCTCAAGTTTCCTAATGAGGCTTCAGCATAAACTGGTTGGGAAGGTGTTTCCCACACAACTTTCTGTGCTTTCAAAGGCACCACTGTGGTGCAGGGTGGAGAAGGGCAGGAATTGTCACCTTGCCTCCCCTCCTGAGCACGTCTCCCAGGCAGGGGGAGGGCAGTAACCCTTGATATCTCCCCCCTTCCAGGCAAGGGAGCACCAATACAGGGAAGCACAAGGGCACACGTGGGGAAGGGAAATGCCTTTTTGTTAAAATTGAACTGTTGGTGGTGTTTGTGTGGCCTTTGGAGAGAATTCATGGCTACCTTTGGAGAGAATTCAGCTTGGTGCCCTCTGCTCCCTCCCTGCAGATGGTGGCTGTCAACTCCTCCAGTCCAACACCTGCAGGAATGTGGGACCCCCAGGCAATGGGAGATGCTGGAGCCATGGGTGATGCCAGTGCAGAAAGCCTCTATGTTCAAGGTAAGCAAGCACAAGGGGGGCATCACCCTGGTGGAGGGGCTGTGGGAGCAAGGAGAGGGTGGGCATTGCCACAGAGCACCAGCAGCTCAATGTGGAGCTCTGACAGGAAGCTCTCTCCTGTTCTCAACTTCAGCTCAGTCACTTGTTAGTTATAAAAATCCCATCTTCTCCTAAAAGTGTATTTATCTCTTCTGTCAGTGAGCAATTTACTTCCAAAATACTGTTCTCGAGCAACAGGCCCATCTTGTACAGAGAACAGTATTTTGGAAGTAACACAGCTGATGTTTTAACTGATTTGGGGATGTTCTCCTCAACTTTAATCCAAAATAAACCATATTGGGAAAGAAATGCTTTTATCCTTTCAGCTGGGGAGACATTTCCCTCTTTGCTGGATTGCCTGAGTGAGCAAAGACTCATCCTGTACTTCTGTTCCTGAGTGGCCTGGGACTCTCACAGCTGGTATTTGGTTGTGTTTCCAGGCATGGAGCTGTTTGAGGAGGCCCTGCAGAAATGGGAACAGGCACTGAGCATCAGGCAGAGGGACAGTGCCAGTACCAGCACCCCTGTGCCCTGGGACAGCAGGAAACAGCAGGAGAGCATATCTGAGAACATCTCAGAGGTAGGTTCCTGCTGTTCCCTTGCAGTGGCCAGCTGGGGAACGTGCTGAAAGGCCAGCCTGGGTGCTGGAAGGAGTCATTAGTGGGAGGTGAAAAGGACAGCAAATTAAGGGCAGAGTCGGGCCAGACTCTGTTTAAGAGCTGTCTGCATCTGCAGCTTCCTTATGCAACGGGGAGTGGGTGGGTTTTATTTCTTTCTCTTTTTAATACGTCTCGCCCCCTCATTCCCCAGCTTTCCTACCCACCTTCCAGCCTCATGTCACTCACTGTCACTCGTGTCTTCCCATGGCAGAGCCTGTGGCAGGAAAAGGCTGGGATGAACTCAGCACTGCTTTGCCTGCCAGTGCTGTCTCTGTCATTTTTTAATGCATTTGAAAGTGGAGATCTTGACGGTCACTGTCACTTCCTGGGGATGAATCAACTGGGATTCCTGGGAATTCCAGTATTTTAGGGCAGCCTCTTGCTGTCTTGGCCTTGAGGATTATGCAGGGAAGACCTGGGATAAGAGGAGGTCCAAACTAGAATGGCTCAGTGACAGCCACAAAGCTAAAAAGAGCTGCTGCAGCTCAGGGCTGTGGAAGTTGCTGCACTCCCAAATCTCCAGTTCTCGCTGGAAAAAGTCTTCCCAGTCCCTTGCAAACAGGGCCTGGTGTAGTAAATCTGTGGGACATTTGCCTTTTGTGCTGGGTAATGTTTATCTGAGTCAAATCTGGATTCTGCTGTTGTTGGCTCTCCTTGAAGAGTCCTGTAGGATTTCTGAAACTGCCTTAAAAACCAGTTGATTCCTTATCAAAATAGATTTTGTGCTTCTTGTTAATGCTTCTGTCTTCTGGGTGAGATACTCATGCAAACACAGGGGCATGAAGGCAGGATGCTGTGTAAGTCTTATTTTTCTCCTTTTTTTTTTCTATCCTCCTGTGTTGCTCACAGCAAACTTTGCTTATGCCTTGATCCAAGGACTCTTACTCTGTTATCCAGTTCTGGATACTCTGTTACATTCCACACAGGTTTCCTGATGTGAGTTCCTCTTGAAATTAGGCTAAAGTCACAAGTCAGGAGAATTAAGTGCTCTGTAACTCATTAAAATACCCGTTTTTCTGGATGGCAGGTTAAAGTTCTTTAGTTCTTTCTCCCTTTTTCAACAGGAAAACAGAATTGTGAAGCTCAAAAGCCAGAGGGTTTGAATAGGCTGTGTAGAAGCTTCTCTCCCCTGTGCATTATTAGCTGCATTGTAGGATTAATGACTCCTCTCTCCTTTTATTTTTAATCATTTAATCCGCAAACTGTAAATCCCATTTTTACTGAAAATTCCCTCCCATCTTTCGTGCTGTCAATCTGTCCCTGCCCAGCTGGCTAACTAAGGGTGGCATTTCTGTATGTTCAAGGAGGAGTCCCAGAAAAGGGAGTTTGCTGAGAAGCTGGAGACCCTCCTGCACCGAGCCTACCACCTCCAGGAAGAGTTTGGATCCTCACTGCCCTCAGACAGCATCCTGCTGGATCTGGGTATGGCACCTGGGGTGGAGATGCATTCAAATGGCAGGTCTTTGTCTGGTTTGATGTCTTTTCTGTAAGCCAGGCAGTGGAGGAGTCACGCAGGGCTGCTTGTGGGGGTGGGAGAGAGCAAAGGAGCGGAGAGGAATGGTAGTCCATGAACTCCAGCACATCCAGGTTCTTTCCCTCCTGCAGAGAAGACTTTAATGCTCCCGTTGGACGGATCGCTGCGGCTCCGGACGGATGATGAGGACAGCTCAGCTTCTGAGGATTCCTTCTTCTCTGCAGCAGAGGTGACTTCAGTGCCAGCTGTGCCACACTCCAGTTGCTTGGAGGGCAGGCACAAAGGCAGCAGAGCCAGACACATCTGGGTAGAGGGAGATGATAAAAGCTCAGAGCAACAGCCCCAAGCTGGGAGGTTTATGATGGATCTTAGGAAAAGCTTTTTAATTAGGGGGGTGGTGCAGGCTGTTCCAACCAGCACTTCTATATCATCTTCCATCTTCTTTTGTAGAAAATGTACCATATCAGCTAGGAAAGTACTGTTATCTAACCTAAGGTGGCTTGGCTGCGTAAATTTTAGGGGATATCGAGCTGTGTCGGAGCTGAGACAGCTTTTGGTGGGAAAAGAAATATCTTTGCCTGAAATAATTGGCACTGACAAACTTTGCCAGCTGAAGATTCTGCGATTCTACTCAGCGGGCCCACCTTGCTTGCGTGTGGTCTCTGAGTGTTTGCCAATATTTACCAAGATCATTTTGCTCTCCCCACGTCTCTTGCCACCTCTGCAGCTCTTTGACTCTCTCCCCTTTGAGGAAATGCCGTTCCACCTCTCCAGGCCAGTGGCAGCCTACGAAGAAGCCCTGCAGCTGGTGAAGGAAGGGAAGGTCGCGTGCCGGACGCTGAGGTGAGGGGCCAGCTTGTGCCGAGGCTCCTTTGGGCAGTGTCAGCACATCCTCTGCCTTTGAGCAGCCCCATAACCAGGGAAACCCTCTGGAGTCCTAAATTCACAGCATCCTTCCTGCTGGTTTGGGCTTCCCAGGGAATTAGCCGCAGATTTTAGGACATGTGTGTTAAGAAAGAGTAATTGTCCCGGGAAATTGGTAATGGGAATGTGACTGTTCTGGGACACTGCACTGTAACAGCCTGGCAGAGGTGCTCTGCTTCCCCAGGGAGCTGGACAAAGGGAATGTGGTTTTTCCTTTCTCCTATGCACAGACTGGGAATTTATGTTTTTGGTTTTAGGGGACCAATAGTTGTTAAGAACACCAACATCAGGAGTACTGGAATTCATACAATCCTTCCCCTTTCCCTCTAGGACTGAGCTCCTTGGCTGCTACAGTGACCAGGATTTCCTGGCTAAGCTGCACTGTGTCAGGCAGGCATTCCAGGTGAGAACAGCTCCAGGCTCCCAGGTTTCCATGGCAGGTGGTAGCACCTTCTCCTCCAGCCCAAACTTAATTCTGCAATCCCATTCTGATCAATTTGATTTGGAAAGAGAGAGGATCCCCTGGTCCCTGTGCCCAGCTGGAGTGATGGTTACATGGCCACTGATGCTGGTTTAGTTCTGGGAAGTTAAAATTTGGGAATTTCAGAGTTGCCCAGAAGTTTTTATTCCCACTTAGGAGCTTTCAGCTGGGCTGGTGTCAGACCTCTGAGGTGGGGGAGCAAGGTTTCCTTCTTCCCACAGTCCTCTTCCTGGCACTGCATGGAGCCTGAACAGCAGCTTCCAGTGTTCTTGACAATTCCAGTCTTTCAGCCTAATTTTAAGCTCGCTTCCTGGAGGGAGCAGGTTTGTTTTCTAGACTCCAGCTTATTAAAGGTTAACAACAGTGGTGTGTGCAGCTTTGCACTGCTTCGTGTCCTGTCCCTTTTTCTCCTCCCAGCTCAGGATCTGTGTGGGGTGCAGGTGCTCACACAGCTTCTGTGTTCCCTCTGCAGGAGCTGCTGGAGGATGAAAGCAATCAACTGTTTTTTGGGGAGGTTGGGAAGCAGATGGTCATAGGACTGATGACAAAGGCTGAAAAGGTAGGAAGTTTGTGTAACAACTAAGCTGTGTCTCGAGCACAGGAACACTTGTTCCTCTATCCCAGCCCAGAGTTTGTCCAGTGTGTTGGAAGAACATTTCATCCGCATGCTGGTGACTGTTGTGATGTTGATGATAGCTCAAAACAGAGTAGGCAAACTTTGCTGAAATGTGCCCACAGCTGTTGCACCTCCTGAAGTGTTTTGTTTCTCTGCTCTCCCAGAATCCCAAAGCTTTCCTGGAAAGCTACGAGGAGATGCTGCGTTACGCAATGAAACAAGAGACCTGGCCGACTACTCAGCAGGAGCTGGAGGGAAGAGGGGTTGGTAAAGACATTATCTTTGCAGAGTTGCAGAGGAGTTGGAAGATAATTGTTGCCCAGAGAGGTTGTGGACTCCCCGTTCCTGGAGGTGTTCAGGGCCAGGCTGGAAGGGGCTCTGAGTAACCCGGGATAGTGGAAGGTGTCCCTGCCCGTGGCAGGGGATGGAACTGGATGATCTTTAAGGTCCCTTCCAACCCAAACCATCCTGTGATTCTGTGGTAATGGATATGTAGGAACGGCCCAGGAGTGAAAGAGCTGCTGCTGAGATACGATCACGTTGACTTCAGCTGCATTTTGTTGCGTCAAACCAAAAGCGTAAAGTCTCTCTTTTTTTCTTTTTTAAACCCGTTTCCTTTACAGACTGTTCTGCTCCTTTGACAGGTGGTGTGCATGAGTTTCTTTGATATTGTGCTGGACTTCATCCTCATGGATGCTTTTGAGGACCTGGAGAACCCGCCCTCCTCCGTGCTGGCCGTGCTGCGCAACCGCTGGCTCTCCGACAGCTTCAAGGAGACGGTGTGTGAAACGGGGGGAGTCCTTGTGCTGAGCCTGAGACCTCACTGCCAGGGCTAGAAATGAGCATAACCTCATCTGCTTCATAACCTTCAGCTCTGGCTGAGCTGAATTCTCCCTTTATAAGTACCCTGCTTTCCTGGAGCTCTGAACAACCATCTTCTGGTACATGGAAATTGTTTAACGGGAAAGCCTTCCTTGTTTTGGAAGCATCTCGTTGGCAACCAGACTTTATTGCTCTGGGGGGCCTTTATCAGCGATGCCATGGAGGTGTTAGAAGATGACAACACGTATTTTTATGAATGAGAGTAAGAGGATCAAAATGTAGGGAAAAATATGTGTGTTAGCACATGGCCATTCATTCTGGTTGTACCTCACCAGACACTGAAGCTCAAATTGCAGTGGTTCCCTCTAGTCCTGGCCCCCAGCTGCACGTTTAAGTTCGATAAGATGGCTGGGAGGCACCTTTTAACAGCTGTCTGTTTACAGTGGATCGTGGGCTGTTGGGCAACTATGTCAGATCATATTAGAAATCTTAAAAACCCTTCGGCTTCTCTGGAATGGATCTGGAGCAGCTAAATCTGCTTCCAGTTCACTTCAATGTTGTCATTTTAGAGTTGTTGGCACAAAAGGGCCACTGCTTTGATGTTTGGATGGCAGTGTGTTGGTAAACTTTGAGGTTGTTTTTTTTAATTTAATCCCAGTAACTGACAGTCTCTCTGTTTATTGCAGGCTCTGGCAACTGCCTGCTGGTCAGTTCTGAAAGCAAAAAGGAGGCTTCTGATGGTAAGCAAAATGAATTAAAAGGGAAAGAATGGAATGTATTTGAAGATGAAAGGAGAACACCTAGATCTTGGCAAAATATAAAATCTTAAGTGGTAGAAGACTGAACTGAGTCACATTCTTTGTGATGCTTTAAAGCACTGGGGTCCTGTTGTCACTGCTCCAGTGCCATGCCAGGATTTTACTGTGTCAGTTGGACTTTATTCTCCCTTTTTCTTAATGTGAGCAAGGAATGTTCACCTTCTCCACTTCTCCACTCCCCAGCACTGATGCTGACTAGTTATTACCTGATGAGTTTCACTTAAATCTGTGACTTTCCAAAGTATGCCAGTGGATGAGCTCGTGGACCTGGGGAACAGGAAGCCACAACTTCACAACCCCAGTTCTGCCACAGGGTCTGTGGCCTCTGGCAGGTTTTCAGCTCGATCCCACAGCCAGCTGGTACCACAGGGTTTGCCCTGGGAGGTGGCACAAAGAGAAGTGAGAGTGTTGGAAGCGGTGCTGGTGCTGTCCTGCAGTAGCTCTGGCTTGGATATTTGCACCTCCATCCCTGGCTTGGGCCAGAGATTTTAAATAGAGGACATAAAGGCTGGCTGGTGGTTGCTTTTCATTTTCTTCTCTTTATTTTCCTCTTGAAATAGTAGTTTAGAAACATGAAGATAGTCATCCTCCAAGGGATCTAAAAGATAAATTTAGTTCTGCAGGAAGAGATGTTCCTAATAGCTCTTAACTTCAGTTACTGAAGTTCAGCGCTTTCTGGCAGGCAATTTGTTGGCTGATATGGAATAAGCTGCTAATCCTGTCTGAGAATGAAGACCAACCAATTCTTGCCTTCCCTGTGGCAGGTACCAGATGGCTTTATCTCTCATTTCTACTCCGTATCGGAGCATGTCAGTCCTGTTCTAGCCTTTGGTTTCCTGGGGCCCAAGCAGCAGCTGTCTGAAGTCTGCAGTTTCTTCAAGGTAAGGTGGCTTTTCTGTGCCTGGGCTGTGTGGGACTCCTGTCTGCAGGCTTAGAGCTGCAGGTGTGTGCTCCTGGTGACTGATGTGGCGTTAAGAAGCTCAGCTCTGTGCAAAAAGCCTTTTAAAAGTCACTTGGTTTTGAGATGCAGATTGCTGAATTCAGGTTGATAAGGATTCCCAGCAGAATGTACCATAGCTGACAGCAAAAATGTGTGATGAGATCAGTTTATACCATCAGTATTGGAAAAGATTATGGGGTGCATGTGCTGAAAGAATCTTTTGTCTCTGAGTACAGGGGATCTTATATTTGATCTTAAAGCCTGAATCCTCTTGTTCTGGTTGATAGTGTTGGGAGACGTGAGACATGAGAATGTGTTGCATCCATTAAATGCTTGCATGGATATTGCCACGGACATCAGCACTGCTTTCCTGGCTTCAGGAACTCTGCTCTCCTGTTCCAGAGGCATGAGGGGATCTATCCACCAGTGTAACCCCCAGCCTGATGCAGGTCTTTGCTTGGATGGCCCATGTGCAGAATTCCTCACGGGGGTCTCTGCTTGCTGCAGTCCAGGTGCTGGCAGGTGGAAGGAGGTCGCCTGACTGTAAACCTTCCCTTTTTTTTTTGCAGCACCAGATAGTGCAGTATCTGAAGGACATGTTTGACTTCGACAACGTGAGGTACACGACGGTGCAGCTGCTGGCAGAGGACATCCTGCAGCTGTCGCGGCGGCGCAGCGAGATCCTCCTGGGATACCTGGGCACCGAGAGCTCCCCGGAGATGAACGGCACGCTCCCTGGGGACACAGAGCCGCTGAAGGAGGAGCTCATCTGATGTCAGGGGAGGAAAACGCTTTTTGTACAAGGACCTTTTCCTCCCAGAGGTGGATAAAACTCCCTGCAGCGTGCAGCGGTGGCAGCAAGACTGTCTCAACACACCTGGCGGGACCTTCTGCTTTTTGTAGCCAGTAGTGTTTGCTGGGATGGATCCAGGACCACTTGCCAGCTTATGGTTTGAATTTCTTCTTTGTTCCACCTTCCTGTTCTTTTTATTATTATTACTTTTAGTGTGTCATATATACATTGTGTCCTGAACTGCCCGGGCCCAGATTTCTGCCCATTCTCTCGAGTAGGGCAAATGTACGTTCCTGTTTTGCCTGTGTGTGTTTCCTGGGAGGTAATCCCTGATGTTTACGGTGTGGGAACAGGAATGTCAGTAGCAAATTCTCCACTTGACCATTAGCTTCTCAAGGAGGCTTTGCTTGCTTTGGGGTTTTTATTACTGTTCCTCTCTGCTGTGTTCCTGCAGACATTAATTACTGTTGATTTTTACCTTCCCTGTGTTAACACATGCAATGTGACTAGAGAAGATTTCTTTCCTGGGGAGGAAGAAATAGTTCTGTAAAGCACTGTAAAGCACTGCAGTTCTGAAGCTCTAGGGAAGTTGGTCTGTTCCCTTGGTGTTGCTGCTCTTTGCAGACCAAATGACGGGGTCTGTGCTGTGGTAATCTTTGCTTAGGAGGTTGCTGAGGTCTGTGCTTGCCCCCAGGGCAAGTTAGTGTGAGGAGGGGATTTGCATCCTGCCTGGGCGTGCACAAAGTGTTTACCATCCCTCCAAGTGCCTTGCTGGATTTCGGGATGAGCCAGCAGCAGGTTTTTGCTGGGTAGGAGCTGTGGGGTGTGTACAAGCAGCGTAACGTGGTGCCTATTGCTGTTATGCACAAGGTGGTCAGAGGTGTGGAGGGTGGATGTGTGCACAAAAGGGCTTGTGTGTGCAGATGGTTGGAGAGCTGGGGTCAAGCCTCTAGAGAGGAAATGACTCTTGGTAGTCTGTCAGTCCTAACAAACAGAGGGTAGTTTTGGGTGATGGTGGAAGGTGTGTGTGTGTATGACGTGGTTCTGCTGGGGTTGGATCCCCTCAAATGCTGTGATCCCGACTGCACGGCCAGCACCTGGAATCTGGCTGCTCTGGGATGTGAGCTGAGTTGGATACTCGTGTGGGACAGCAGGAGTGGAGTGTGATGGACTTGCAGAATCACAGAATATGCTGAGTTGGAAGGGACTCATCAGGATCATCGAGTCCAACCCCCGGCCATGCACAGGACACCCCAAGAATCCCATCCTGTGCCTGGGAGCGTTGTCCAAAGGCTCCTTGGACTCAGACAGGCTTGGTGCTGTGACCACTTCCCTGGGCAGACTGTTCCAATGCCCAAACCTCCCTGTGGGGGAAGAACCTCTTCCTAATACCCAACCTAAACCTCCCCTGACTCAGCTTCATGCTGTTGATTTGAGGCAGTCCTGGCTTTTGTGTGAGGTTTGCAGTGATTTGCTGAGTCCTCTGAGTGCAGTGTCACAGATGAAGTTGAGGTCCAGCCTGTGCTTCCTCCTATTTCAGTTCATGTAAAGCTCCAAGTCCCACTCTTGGAATGGGGAGGTCTTTAGGACTTCCACAAAAACATGAGATTCACTGTGTTTGTTCCAGGCTGATTGGGTACCCCTTGTTCTGTTCCAGGTAAAAGACACAAGTCTTATCCAGCCATATTTTTACAAGGGGAAAAAAAAAGAAATATGTAAGAATCTGGAATTTCCATATGAGTGGAAAGTCAGTGCATGGGCTTGGAGAATACAAATCTCTTGTCTCTCTTCAGATATCCAGTGTGGATTCTGCTGGTAAAAGCAGGTAGGAAGTAAACAGAGAAAAAAAACCAAACAGGAGGATGTAAAAGGAGCAGATAAATGTGCTGTGCCACGTGCTCTGGGGTCACCCTGCTCGAGCAGGGAGGTGGGACCAGATGACCCACTGTGGTCCCTTCCAACCTGACACATTCTGTGGTTCCCTGCAACGCTCCTGAGATGTTTGCAAGAGGTTAAGTGTAGAGCACGTAACATCTGGTGCTCTGTAAGCACATCAGGCTGATGGGGCTTATCCTGGAAACCAGATTAATGCAATAAACAGGACAATGCTGAGGCAGAAATGAGGAGCAGCTGCCCCAAGTGAGGCTGCACGGAATAAACTGTTATGAGAAGGATTTAAGGGACAGCAGTTTAAACCAGGAAAGGTCTCTGAGGTGTCTTGCTCCTGGCAGTGTGCAGGACGAGGAGAAACAGAGCACAATTAGCAGGACATGCTTGCTACATGTAAACTGTGATTCAAAAGGATGGTATATTGTGAAAGCAAGTTGCTTTGCAGGAAAAAAAAAAGGTTATTGTGCTTTGTGCTCTTGTATGGCTGGTTTAGAAGAAAGAGTCACTTCAGCAGCTTTTGTATAGCGGTTAAAGAGATGCTAAAATGTGAAGATTAATGTAACAAGACAGATTGTAATTCTAAACAATCAGTGCTGTTAAATGCTCATTTTTAGAGTTGTTTTATGTGTATTTATTTACTGTTCTGAGTGTCTTTTGGCCTCAGTGCTCGGGCAGCCTGCCTGCTTTGTGTACAGACAAGAACACTGGCTGCTGACTTTGGGCTTTCTGCAGCCCTAGAGGAGGCTGAAGCAGGGTCCCCCTGAAGCAAACACTAACTTGCACTGTGGCTTTTTAAGCTGAGAAATTGTAAATTCCTAATCAATCCAGTGAACAAAGACTGTTTTATTACAGCTTGATGCTTTTCTTTTCCTTAGCCCTTGTTGCAGGTAGGGCACTGCTGCCCTCCCAGTGAAGGTAAAGAGGACTCTGCCTCAGAAACTTCTGCAGCTTCTTGAGCGTTGAGTTGTCCCTCTCTGCCCACAACGCTGACAGGGATCCTGAGATCCCTAGAAATCCCTGAGATCCCCCTTTCCCCAGCATATTGTGTTTGGCAAAGGAAATTCTTCAGCATTAGCAGCAGAGAGACATATTCAGGTAGAATCCCTAGAGATGAGACATTTGCCTTTTTTTATGATGAACCCTTATTCTCAAGGGGTTAAATCAGTCTGGGCTGACACTTGCAAGATTTTAACACTGATGGGGATTTAAAGTGGCTTAGCAGCTCTGAAATAAAATCCCTCAGTAAGTTTCTGATGCTTAAACAGAATTTAAAATATGCATGACTTTCATTTTTTATGTGGAGGCTGTAACAAGCTTCACCAGTGGTTAAAGTACATACTCAGTACTTTAGTATGTATGTAGAGACTCTGCCAAATGGCTTTAGGAGGGTCTTTAGGATCTTTAAAGCACATTAATAAAAAAATTATGAGGAAAAATCTGCCTTGTATCTACAAGATCAGTGTGGCTTTGAAGAGCATGACTTGTGCTGTCTCATACAGGGAGGTGGGAAAGCAGGATTTTATTTACCCCTCTTCAGTAGAACATTCCTCTGCCATATCTGAAACTAATGAATGTAAACTTGTGCCTGTTTTTTTCTTGATTTCCTAAAGGTGTAAAAATCTGTTCTTGTTTTGCTTCTTTTTTCTTTGCAGCTAATTTTTTTTTTCTTTTTAATATCTTTAATCTTAGGATGTGGGCATTACAAGTCAAATAAAACTTTCCTTCATTGATTGTGGTTTTTGTTTCTAAATTTCCTGGCAACACATGCTAGAAACTTAAGTCTTTGGTTTCTAATTTAGGTGACAATTGTGGTGACACCGTTGGTGCCAGTGATGGTATAGAACAAAGTTTGCTCTTCCCAGAGTTAAAATTATGAACTTGAAGGGTTTAAATGTAAACTTAAAGGGTTTGTTTGCATGGGGAGTTTTCCATGGGTCTACTGACATGTCCATAGACCAAGCAGGCTATAAAATAAACAAAACAGCTCCTTGTGCTTCGAGCAGTGGTTGGAAACTATGGGGTTTCATTTTTCAGATTTTTCTGGGGTGGTTTGGCTGTGTTGGGGTGTGGTGTGTGCAGAGTAGAAGGCTGTGATGAAGTGATAACAGGAATCCCGGTGAGGAGCAGAACCTCTTAAACATTGTCCCAAGTTTTTGTAGCACTTATCAGCCTCCCAAACTGCATGAGAGAAAGCCAGAGCAAAGGTTGTGGGTTGGTATCAGAGCTGTCCATCTGCTGAGCAATGCAAGAAACTCATCTTCTTGCTCTTCTGAGGCAAGGACAGTAGATTTAAATACTCTCGTTTTCAGAATATACAGAAACCAGAGTGAATCAGATAGGCTCTTTCTTCCACAGTGATTAGAATTTCATCCCTGTGCTTAAAAATAAAATAAAAAAACCCCTAGCCTAATGCAAGCCTGTCATGAACTCTGATGTATGCAAATAAAATCTTGATGAGTAGGAAAATTTTTGTCTGGCGCCACGCCCTGCTCGTTAGTTGAAAGAGTTAAAAGGGGTTTATCTCTCAGTTTCCATGGAGTCAGACTCCACACTCATTACAGCTCGGGAGCAGCTCTGTGCTTTCTTATGCTGAGGAGCAGAGCAAAGGCTGCTCCCGTGTATTGACACTTTTTTTCTCCTGTTCAGGAAGGAGTGGGTGAATACAGCAATGAAGCCCACAATTTTCAGTACTTGTCACGGTACATAGATCAAATGTAATCCACTCTGCCAGCATAACTCTACATTCAATAGCTTGGAAAGGAGGAGATTTATTTAACTTGAATAATGAAAGCAGTAAATCACTCATGCTCCCTCATAGCAGTCTTCTGTGATGAACTGAGCTCCTGCAGTAAATATTTGCTCTTTCTTTCCAAATAATAAGACTTTAATCCTACTTTTTTTCTCCTTGCCATGCCAAGGAGAGTGTCAGTTTGAAGAGCCTGTTGAGTTTAATGGGATACAATCATAATCGAAGCACGTATATTACAACTGCAGGAAAAGGAGATTTCTCCCTGTTCTGAAATCATATTTTAAGGGATAGAAATCTTTTTCCCTGTGGTTTTCCTGACACAAATTAAAGGCGTGACCCTGTGCCTGTGTTTATCACTTCTTGTGGTGCTCTTGCATATTTATTTTTTCTGTAAGTTTTATTTTTTAAAATTGAATTAACTTTGGTGGGTTGGTCTGAAGGTGGATTTGCCTTCTGAACGCTTTTCTGTACCTCACTCTTGCAGTGCTGCACTGTCCGTGTCCTGCTTTTCCTCAGGCTCCCCAGGTAAGTTTTACCTCTGGGGTCAAATATTGGAATATCCCTTATTGGAGCAGCCTGGGCTGGTGCAAGGTGTCCCTGCCCATGGCAGGGGGTGGAACGAGATGAGCTTTAAGGTCCCTTCCAACCCAAACCCTTCTGTGATTCTATGACTTTGTTCCAGGTTTTTATTTTCACGTGTGCATATTCACAGGGAGCTGCTCGTCCTTTACAGAGCTGGATGTGGTTGTAGAAATCCCTCTTCTTCCTAGTGTTATTTAAAAAAAACCACAAACCAACGTATTTTCAATGGATCTTGCACCTTATCAGTGAATTACTCCTGTGAGGTGCAAGTAGACATGTGCTCAGGGTAGCACAGGGATGCTTGCAAGGTGGAGGTGAATGTAGTTGTCCTCTTTTTAAATGAATTATTCTAATTTAAAAACGTGGGTTTTATTTTGGTTTTGGGGTTTTTTTTAACAGTGACTGAGGGGGCTGCAGGAGGTGGTGCGAGAGGAGCCCGGCCCAGACATTTTCCCTCCAAGGGTGTGAGGGGAGCCCAGAGCGGGACCCGCTGGGGGTGTGAGGAGATCCCTGGCTGTTCCCACTGGGGATGTGAGGGCTGTTCGGGGAGCCCGGGCTGTCCCCGGCGGGGCTATGAGGGGTGTGAGCGCACCCTGAGCTGTCCCCGCCGGGGCTGTGGGGGCTGTGAGGGGAGCCCGGGCTGTCCCCGCCGGGGCCGTGAGGGGAGCCTGGCCCGGCCATTTTCCCGCCCAGCCCCCGCCTCAGCGCCCCGCGCCCGCCGCGCCAGCGCCGCCGCCGATTGGCTGAGAGCAGCTGCCCGTGCGAGCCGCCGATTGGCTCATCCGCACCGCCCTCCCGGCCAGTGACGGAGCGCTCCGCCGCCCGCCTTCCCTCCGACTGGCTGCGCCGCTCCCTGCGCCCGCCCCCCGCTGGGCCGCGGTGCCGGCAGCCGATTGGCTGCGGCGCTGCCCGGGCCGGGGGTTTAATTGGGCGGCGCTGGGCTGGCCGGCGCCTCCCCTGCCGCGCGCCGCCATTGGCCCGCCGCTCCGCGCGCCCCCGCCCATTGGCCGCACCGCCCCTCGAGCGCGCCGCGATTGGCCGCGGCGGCCCGGCCCGGTATCCGGGTAAGATGGCCGCAGTCGGCGAGTGCTCGCTGCCCGCGCCGTGGCGGCCGGTCTCCCTCACTCACGTCGAGTACCCCGCAGGTAACGCTCCGTTTCGCCCTCGCCGGGCCCCCGCGCCGCGCCGCCGGCCCGCGGCGGGGCCCCTCCCGCCGCCCCGCGGCGCCGCCGAGGGCCGGGCTGGCGGCTGCCAAATAGTGAGCCATTGAGCGGCGGCGCCGGGGCGGAGGGGCGCGCGTGCGCGCTCGGGGGGCGGCGGGGCGCGCTGCCAGATCGTGAGCCGCGGCGGGAGCGGCGGGGCGCATGCGCGCTGGGGGGCGCCGGGCTGGGGTCTGAGGGGAGGGGGGACGGGGAAGGGAGCGGGGAGGGGGCGGCTCCGTCCCGGCCCTCCAGGGCCGCCCTACCCGCTCCGCACCGCCTCCCCGCGCCCCCTGCAGCCCCCCGGCCTCGGGGGGAGGGTCCCGCCTTGTCGTGCCGCTCCCCTCAGCGGCGCGGTGCTGTCGGTGTCACCTCCCCGCCTCCCGTGCTGGGGGTCCGGCGCGCTGTGGCACAGGGACAGCGGGTTCCAGCCAGCCTCGTGGCACCCCAGGGTGCGGGGCTGTGGCGGGGTGGTCCTTGTCCCCCGGGTGGGTTCGGCTGCCAGTGGGGCTGGGGGCTGTGAGGGGAGTGGGGGTGGCACGTTGTCACTGTCCCCACGGTGGGCTTGGCTGCCAGGTGGGTCTGGTGGCAGTGACGAGGTCTGAGGTGGGCTCCGATGCCAGGTGGGCTTGGTGGCTTTTCTGGGAGCACTTCAGGCAGGCAGAGCTGAGGAGGGCAGGGTGTGCTGTAGCTCAGCTCGTGGCAAGGTGGGTTTGGGTCCAGGTGGGTGCTCGAGTGCAGGATGGGCTGTTCCAGCTGGGCTAGGTGTGATCCATAAAGGTCCTGTGCCCCTGGATCCCCGTGGTGCTGCACATCAGAGCAGCCTGACCCAGGCTGTGGTGGGATGAGTCCCTGTCACTGTGCAGGAGGAACCAGGCTGTGTTCAGAGAGCAGCAGTGTAAGTGGTGTCTCATCAGTAACTGTGGTCCTTTGGAGCTCCTCTTCAGGTGCTTTGTGCTCTGCTGGTTTTAGGTGCTTGTAGATAATAAAAAAATGAAGTGTCAGAGTGTTAGCACTGAGTGTCTGCTCAAAATCCCGATTTGGTGTTAACACCAGTACTTGTCAGTATTTCCAGATCTCCCAGTGAGTCCCCCCTAACTTGCACTGTGTTGCTGTATGTCCCGTTTTGACAGCTGCATTTTAAGTTCCTGATGAAAGCTCCTCTCAGTAGTGCAGTTCCTAAAGGCTTCTAAAATTCTCAGGGATCTTCTGTGTTGAAAGTGCCCATTTAGCCAGGAGACTTGAAATGTCACAACACTGAAAAGATCTGGCACTGGAGATACATTATTTCTTGGCCCTCCCTCTCATGGCTGTTTTGTGGTTTTCTGAGGTACTTTATGTGAAGTACTGGCATTTCCTTTTCTGTCTTGCACTTTCTTTCCCCCGTACACACTTCTGCCATCCCCCTTCTCAAATATGTTAATTTTACAGTTTGGGGGAGATGGGGAATAATCTTCCCACTAGGACTGATATATTCATCTCTGTATCTCACCTCCTTATCTGAACCTGGCAGAATACACAGAGCGCGTCCTGTGCTCCATTTGTTGGGTTGGTTTGGGAAATGAAGGTGGTGGAAGTTGTTGCTCAAGGCTTATCTGTCAGATCTTGAGCAATGTGACATAACTGGATTATTTTCTCTCTGCACTGAGTGTCTCTTAGACAGGCAAAGGGAGGAGGTGATTGTGTGGAGGGGTAAATCAGCACTGAGATGAGGGTTATGTGTGGATGAGGATGGACACTGTGACAGGGCTGGATTTATGTTCAGCTGCTGTCAAACAGCACCCCCAGGTCCTTTTCCAGCTTTCCAGCCACTCTGCCCCCAACCTGGAGCGTTCCATGGGGTTTTTGTGATGCAGGTGCAGGACCCAGCACTTGGCCTTGTTAAGGCTCAGCCCCTGGATCCAGCCTGTCCAGATCCCTCTGCAGAGCCTTCCTGCCCTGCAGCAGATCAGCATTCCTGCCCGACTTGGTGTCATGTGTGAGCTGCCTGAACGTGCTCTCCATCCCTTCGTCCAGATTATTAATAAAGATATTAAACACAACCTACCCCAATGCTGAGCCCTGGGGAACACCCCTGGTTTTCGGGGTGTTGCTGGATTTATCTCCATTCCCCACCACTCTGGGCCCAGCCATCAGCCAGTTTTTTGCCCACTGAACAGTGAACCATCCAAGCCATGGATGTTCTGCAGGAGAATGCTGTGGAAGACGGTGTCAAAGGCTTTACTAAAGTCCAGGTAGACAACATTTTGGTCTGAAAAAAATGACTTGCAGTAAGATGGTAGGTCTGATGCTTTTACCTGGATTTGGGGAAAGTGCTCTGACTTTATTTAGAAAGCTGCTTACATTCTGCCTGTGTACAGCTTAAGTCCAGGTCCATAAAGCTTCTAGATAATGTATATTTATAAAATAATGATGTTGGCAGCGTGCTCAGCGCTGTGGAGTTAATGTGGCCTCGTGCTGCTGAGAGGGTCAGAACGAGAAATAGATCCTGCTTTTACCACCATAAATTATTAAGCTGTCTTGGCATGTCATGCACTGCTGTGGGGCAAAACGCTCTGGCTCTTGGCTGATCCTGAGGCTGCTGAGCCTCTGTGGCAACCAGCTCTTAAAATCTCAGGTCTTCAAAGACTTCCAGCACAGAACTGCTGCCACCCCGGCTTTCATCTGCCACGAGTGACGGTCCCGCTCGCTGGGAGCAGCTGAAAAGCTGTCACTGCTGATTTGTGCCTGCCACACAAAGCCTGGTTTTGGGCTTCTCCTTGTAAATGTGAAGGGGAGAGGTGTCTCCAGAAGGGTGCTGATCCTCCCTGTCCTGATCAGTAGTGATACACCAAACCCATCCTTACTGCACAGCTCTCCAGGGCTTTCTGTGATGCCCACTTAGAGCCCAATAAATGAGAAACAGCAGATGAACGCTGTGGCAATCAACTGCAGACTGGTCTGAGGAACGGGGTCTTGGAGACCTGGAATACTGCCCTTAGGGAATGTCAGGATCAGACACAGGGAGAAGAAACCAGCCATGGCAGTGCTGCTTGAGTGTGCTAAAGCATGCTGCTGCAGAGGACAGCCTGCAAAAATGGCATCCTGGGACTGCTCTCTGAATTTTTTGATCCTGGAGCTTTTCTTATCAGCAGCTGTACTTTGGTGAGACCAAGGAATGATCTGGCAGGGCTGGGTTGCTGGCAGGTAGGCAGGAACAATCGTTCTTCTGCATGTCCTTCCAGTAATGAGCTGCTGATTGCATCAGGACTGTTAAGTCCTTTGATGGATGTATAAAAGCTGTATGTCTAATTGCTCTTTGAATCCATTTCTGCTTTGGATCTCACAGTATCTTTGGCACTGAGCTTTGCAGCGTAATGTGGTTGTTGTTTCTTTTCTAAGTCCACTTCTGAGTAATTCCATCAAACACTCTCTTTCTCATGTGCAGTGAGAGGTAACAATTGTTTGCTGTTCATTTCTCCATATAATTCATGACTTTATGGAACTGTTGTATCCTCTGCTTTCCTTTTCCAGCTGAAAATCTGAGTTATTTGATGTTTTCTGAACGGCTGCTGTCACATATTTATCTTTGTCCTCTTTCAATTTGCCTTTCCTGTGTCTACTCTCCCTTTTTAGCTGTGACACCAGAATTGCATAATAAATTTTTGTAGTGCCGTACCAGTAACTTCTGTTCTGCTCTTAAAAATGTTCTTCTTGCCTTTTTCACTGCTGCAGAGCACTGGATGCCACTCTGAAGGTATTGGCTCACGCTGAGTCTGAGGGGTTTTGTTTGATAACTGAACTAAATCCTGTCATGTCGTGTATAATTAGGGTTGTTTTTTCCCATATTCGTTGCTTTGCATGGGATGATTTTGTGCTGCAGGCTTAAAACTCATCTTCAGGAACTTCCTGTCTGTAGGGTGAGTTTCACTGGAGAAACATTGAGTTCCTGGTTTGTTTGGGGTTTTTATTATTATTATTTGGAGAAAAGGAAAAAAAAACTTCCTCTCTTCAGCGCAGCCAGGATTCGTAAAGCTCTGGGACTTTCTGGACCTCCTCTCACTGGACAAGTTCTTCAAGGAGACAAACCTGGCCAGACCTTTTCTCTGCAGAATGACAGGGAATCTTCCCATTTTCCCAGTTGCTCAGGTCATTTCCTACAGCCAGGCAGAGCTGGAGGGGCAGGTGTGCAGGATGGACCCGTGGGTGATTCCAAAGGTGCTGGTGCTGTGTGTGTACCTTGGCTCAGCAATTGGTGTTGCTGTTCGGTGTCAGCACGTGCTGTTTCCTATGGGAATGTTTGTTCTGATAACCCTCCTGTGATTCTGAGCAGGGTGAGAGCTCACAAGTCAGGGCTCATTCCATACCTGAGCAGCATCTGCTGGAAGCAGCAGATCCCACTCTTGTTTGGCTGCTTTAATGCAGAGGTTGACGTTTAATCTCCCTGCAGAAGTTATGCCTGATTCCTGCCTTTATGCCATCATTTAAAGCCTCCTGAAGTCAGATCTTTTCCCTGTCCCACATGTGCAAGCTGAGGAAGTGGCTCTCTTGGATCATGAATATTTAGGGACGTAAATGCCCATGACACACATACAGTGTGTGTTGTCTGTGCCACTTGCACACACGGGCTTGGCCAAGAACACACCACCAGCAGCAGGGCCACAAATAGATGCTTCAATAGGAAGTGGTGGTGGTGGTAAAGCTCAATCTTGTGGTAGGATGTGGTTTGGGGGCTGTTGATTCACATTTTTGCATCCTATGCAGGTTAAGCTGATGTGGTGGAGCTCGGATATTTCCACCGAAAGAATGCTGGGTAAAATGTTGAATTGGAGCAGAAGTAGATGCTGAATGAAGGCTGAAAAAAATAGCCTTGTGTGTCTGAGCTATCTATAGTGCTGCACGTACTTATCTCCTGGCTGCCCAAAAATGAGCTATTGCCTTCTGTATTTTTGCTTTTGGAGCTCCAGAGGATGTCCAGGGAAGGCTGGACTTTAAAAAAAAAGCAGAATTTAAAACTAAACAAACCCCAAGGTATACATTAAATAGATTCTCCTTTTGCATTTTTGCAGAGGTTTTGTCTCTGTTCTTACCGGTTGGAGGAATTGCTTTAAAATTCCCAAGCTTAGTAAAATAAGGGAAAAATTAGTTTTTATAAAAAAGGAGGGGGATGATGCTTGCTAGATCTGACTGGACTTCAAACCGTGGCTCTCCTGCACGTCTCCTTTCCCTGGGAATAAGTCTGGGAGCGCACTGGAGCGTGAGAGGAGATGGGAGTGACATCAGTAATCAGGCTGGGAGGCCCCCGGAGCTCTGTGCGGTGATCAGCGCTGGCCTTGCTCTCAGAGCTCGCTCTGCCTCCTTCACTGGGGATTTCCACTCCTTTCGGAGCTGCTTTAGTTAGGGCAGCTCTGCCTGGAGCTGCTGCTCCAGCGAGGCATTCACGGGCTCCTGGTGTAGCTCCTTCAGATAGGGCTCAGCTATTTATCTGCCTCCTTCCCGAGAAAAAGGGGCTTCGGGATGTGCCTGTTTAATTGCTGTTAGCTACAGTAACGTCGAGTATGATTAATGCTGTCTGTTCTGCTCTAAATGGACAGCTGAAATGTTTGAGGAGCTTTTGTGTTAAGGGTTGATAAAGGACTTGGTGCCTGCAGGCAGCATCTGGGAGTGATGGTTTCTGGTTCTCCACTCTGGGACTTTTTGGATCTCTTCTCACGCGCTGGACAGATTTAAGGAGAGAAACCTGGCCAAACCTTTTCCCTGCAGAAGGACAGGAAAGCTTCCCCTTTTCCCAGTTGTCCTGGGTGTTTGCAGGCAGAGTTGGAGAGGCAGGTGTGCAGAATCCATGGGGGTTGTGTGCCTGTGAAGTCTGGGTGGTTTGATTTATTGGGAATGTTATGTGACATAACAGAGGATCTTGAATTTGGGACTGCTGATCCTATTTAAATTAAAAGACTACTTGCTTAAGTATTCCTCCACCATCTGCACAAGAAATAGAACCCCCCAGAAGATAAATTACCTGGTTTGGTTTCTACTTGACAAAATTATGGCTTCTAGTCTGGAAGTGCTGAGTCTTTACGTACTGTGGGTTAACAGAGTGAATGATCTGAAACACGGTGATTCCTTGATGATGAGCTCTCTTCAGCTGGTAATGCTGGAAGTGAGACTATTGGAAAGTATTCCTGAGGCTTCCAGGGTAGTTTGATTGTCTGGTGCTTTGTCTCATGAATTCCTTGAAGACAGGATTCATTTTGTTGAGAGTTTCTGATTTATGTAAAACCATAAGGGGCTTGATTTTCAACTGCCAGGTAACTGATCCTGTCACTGACATCCTCTTTGTGTTGCCACAATCCGTTGCTGTTCTGCTTTGGGAGCATTTGGAACCCACCTGATGTGAGGCAGACCTGCCATATGGTGCAGGGAAAGTTTCAAATTCAGAGCCTTCCGGTGCTTTTCAGGTTAAAAACCAAAATAGAACCTCACTTCAGTGAAAGCCCAGTATGCTTGGGGATTTTGTCCTCCAAATCTTCCTAATTTCACTGGTGCAGGCTGAAACTCCTGCTGGTAATCCTTGCTGATGCTGTTGCTGGTTCCCAAATCTAACCTCTAGTCTGGGATTCCAGAGGCTTCCGTGCACTGTACCTGGTGTAACCACAGCTATGTGGCAATACCATCAGCAGCATGAACTTTGTTGTAGCAGGGCAATAACTTCTTTATCGGTCCCAGCACTCAGAGACTGAGGTTAAAGTCCTTTTTGCCAAGTGCTGCTTTAAAATGTGGGTGCGTGGGCTGGGGAGACTCAGGATCTTGCAGTGGAATTGATCTAGGAATGAGTCCAATGCTCAGCCTTGCAGAGGCATCCTGTTTCCTTTAGAGAGGAGAGAGGAAGGATGAGTTTGTGTGGGGGCTGATCCTTTTGTGTTTAGTGAGGGGATGGAGAGGATTTGGTCTCAGCACCAATGCACAAAGTACCCGTGTCTGCAGTTGCTCACTGGGTTCATGCGGTGGGTTTGTGGTGACTTCTGTCTTTAAAGATTCTCAGGTAGACAATTTTCACTCTTCTGATATGAATTGCTGATCTTGGAGCAAAATTACTCTCTTTTTGTGTTTCCCTGGAATTTATGCTGCCATCTTCTCTCAAAATGCTTCTGTGCGTGTGTCCCTTTTCTGGGAAGAGAGGCAAGAGAAAGATGGATCTAAACACGCAGCTGCTCTTTGCTGTTGCTGCCCGCTTCTGTGTCTGGGATCGTTCAGGATAAAGCTTTTGAGGGATCTTATGACCTCTTGTGAGGTCCCACTGCTGCTCCCTGACTCCCTGGGGGACAACTAGACCATTAGTTATTTGGTTTGGAGGCTCAAAGCCCCTTTTATGTGATAGAAGTGGGCTACTGGTTAAAAAGGCAGAGTCTCCTTTATTTCCCTGTTATCTCCTGCTATGTTTAGCTATTTATTTCCTGCCCATTTTGCTAATGCTAGTGTTCATGCAGACACATGGTGAGACAGATTAGGAAGCTGATCCAGCTGAAAACTAACCCATTTTAGTCAGGGAGTGGGAAAGGATTTGTTTGGGGAGTGTTTGCTGGTAATTGCTGGCATAGGGAGGCAAAATGAATGAGGGGGAGGGAAAGATGCTGCCTCTTTTGCAGCAGCCAGTGCTTATGTTGGATTAAAGTGACTCTGGGCCCACACCCGTGGTCATTGTTGTAAATTGGGTGCTGAAGGATGCCAGGCTCCTCTCATCCCTGGTTTTGAGCCTGCATGTGATCACTGCTGCCTCCTTGCCTTGGCTCCTCTGGGTCACTCTGCAGCCCAGGTTGGTCCCTCTGCTCCGGTGATCCAGGGCTCCAGCTGAGCCATGCTCTGATGGCAGGCAAGTTACCTGTGAAGTTCAAACTGATCTGTGTCTCTTGTTTGTTTCCCCAGGTGATTTCTCTGGTCAGCTTTTAGCTTATTTGAGTCTTGGCCCAATATTCATTATTGTTGGCTTTGTAACACTCATCATATTCAAGAGAGAGCTTCACACGGTGAGTCCTTCCCTCCCTTCCCAGCCTCTCCTTCTGACTAAAGCCTTTTCCTTTGTCACCTGGTGCTCCTATGTTCACACTTGTTTTTCTCTCTTTAAAGTGCAAGCTTAGGTAAAGCATCTTCCTGTCACAGAACAGCAGGAGACACTTAGCACCAGTCCCAGGTTAAAAGGCTGCTCAGCCTCTGCTGATTTCTCTGTTGCTCTTTGGTGTGTTTTGTACATGATCTGTCCAAAACCATCGAGGGAGATGTCTGAGGAAGTAAAGAATGCTGTTGCAGAGTGGGAACGCTCCCAAGGTCCAGTAGGATCATAGCACTTAGTAGGTTCCTGCAAGCTGGGCAGCATGTGCAGGAAATGGTGTGTGTAACTCAGGAGGATGTACTTTCTTAGAACCACTGAGATGGAAAAGGGGATACAAAATAAAACCTACAGATTCCCAAGGGAGTGGATCTGTCTTTAAGGGCTGCTTCCCAACTGTGAATTAAATACCAGGGACAGAAGAAGCTTTTTTCTGTCCAAATTCTTGTAACACATAATGCTTTCCGTCTGCTTGGAAAGGTAGTTGGGAATCAGTGTCCTGGATAAATTCTGTATAAACCTCTTGTAACATTTACCCTCAAGTAAACAGATAAAATTGGGGCCACTGAAAGGGTTTTGACAGCAGATTTCTAATACAGGGCCACGGTGTCATGGGAACCAGTGGCTTGAGGGACCTGGGAATGAGCCTTCTAACTGGGAAAGGCAGCTGTTAAGTTTTGGCAACCCAAAGGTTTCTTGTTGACCCAAAAGACAGAATGAGCCAGAGCAACTCTTGCACAGATTTATGGGTTTATACAGGGACTTGGTAGGTGTGGGTAAGGAGACAGCTGTGGAGGTTGATTCCCAGTTCTTCATGTGGGAAGTCACCCCCACTGGGCTGGAGAGAGACACTGCCTGACCTGGGGCTCAGGATATGGAGTGAAAAATTCCTTCATCCTCTGGAATGGGACTGAGTGTTAAGGAGGCAGAGTGTCATCACCAGCTGGGAATCTGATCACAGCAGCAGGACTAATTTAGGGAAGGTGTACAGGCTTTGGAATTAAAGAGTAAAAATAAATGCTGCCAGTCTGGCTTAGCTCAGAATGTGGATCCATTCTGAACTGAAGACAGCAACTTCAAGATGAAAATAAGCACAGAGGGGAAAAGACAGAAAGCCTAAAAAGTCACCTTTATTTTAAGCTATTTACCCAAATAACAGTGTCTGCACTCCCCCTGTTGGTCATCGGGAAAAGCCAATCCCCAAAAACCTGCCCTGTTCAAAAAATGCCACTTTCTGCACTTGCTGGTGGAAGTGTCCTGGCAGAACTGCCATACAGTGTCATTTGTGTCTCATTCTGTGCATCATCTGCTGAAAAGCTGAATATACCCAGAGTGTTGCCAAATATACAAAGTGAGCTGAAAAATAAATGCTTTCTTTCCTCAGGCAGTGAATTTGGAAGCTGTTTTAACTCTAGTAGTCGAAAAAGAAAATTAGACACATAATGTTTGGGGTTTTGTCCACAGAGAGAGCCTGGTGAGTAGAAGGGTCTTTTAGAGGGGGTGACACAGCTGTCTTGCCTTCACAGATCTCGTTCTTGGGAGGGCTGGCATTCAACGAGGGAGTGAACTGGTTAATAAAAAATGTAATCCGGGAGCCTCGGCCGTGTGAAGGTAGGGAATGGACGATGGGTGTGGTGGTGTCAGTGGAGTTCTGAGTGGAGTGCTGGCTGTGAGGGGTTGGGGGGTATTTTCCCCTTTGCCTCCTGTTGGTTTTGGCAGGGATGTGTCCTGTCAACTGTGTGCACATATTCCAGCAGAGTGTTCTGGCTTCACATCTGGAGTGTTCCAGCTGCTGGGTACGGAGTCGGCCTTGACCATACTCTTTCTTCTTCTCTTCCCAGAAGCCCATTCAACAGTGACCACAAAATATGGGATGCCGTCCAGCCACTCCCAATTCATGTGGTTTTTCTCTGTCTATTCCTTTCTGTTCCTTTATTTAAGGTAAAAATTCCATGTCAGGTTTTGGCTGTTGATATGTTGAAACACCTGAAACACGTGTCTGCCTTGCTGGGTGCCACTTGAGTGGGATAAAGGAATTAAATCTGAGGCCCTACACAATTTACTGTGGCCTGGCTGGATGGAGCATGTCTGTCTCCATCTGAATGTAAGGCTGGAGTTACCAAGGCTGAAAATGAGGGTGTGGGTGGGCCTCCTTTTACCTCTTGGGGTACAGCTCTCCCAGTTTTCTTTTTCTAAGCTGTGATGGTCCCCCAGTGTGAGGGAAGAGAGGGAGAATAGGGAGGAGGAAAGAAGAGCTGCTTTCTCATGTGTCTGCTCAGTTTGTCAGTGGGCTTATCTGCAATCTTTCAGGTAATACCTGTTGCCCACTTGCATGACCTTTTCAGTTCACCTGCCTTACCAAGGGTTTACATGCTGGGCTGTGCTTCCCTGAGGTTGCTGCTGGGCCATGGCTCTGCCTTGTGGCTCCACGAGTGGAGGAGGGCAAAACTCACAGTCCCTCCTGGCTCTGTGGGTGATGGAGGGACTCTGATGTCTCGGCTCCCTGTTGCATATGCTCAGCATGTGCCTCTCACAGCAGCTGCAGTAACTGTGAGCGTTCTGCCGTCCATCACAGCAATCCCTGTTGACAGTGGCAGAGACACACGAGTGGCTTTCCGGCTGCTCGGTAACTGCTGCCGTGGGAGAGGTTGCTGCTGGGATGGGGTCAAGCTGCCCATGGCCCCACTGGAGTAGGGCTTTCCTAGGGTTCCCCAGGGAGTGAGGACAGAGGTAAGGCCTGCTCAGCTCCCTGCCCTGTGCTAATGGCTCTCCATCTCTTTCAGAATGCACCAAACAAACAATGCGAGGTTTCTGGATTTACTATGGCGACATGTGCTGTCCATCTGCCTCGTCACAGTGGCTTTGCTAGTCTCATATAGTAGGTATGGAGCAACTGTTTGTCTTATGCTCTCATACAGTCCCGTGGCCCCGTCACAACCCCATCATTCCTTATCCTGCTTTTCCGACCTGATTCCCAACTGCGCTGTACAAGTCGGAGCTTTGTGGAAGTGGCCGTGTTGCCACGAGACCCTCCCAATGAGCAAAGGTGCTGCATGTGTGGTGCTTCACAGAAGCATTTATAAAACCCCAAATCAGCTTGAGCTTGTACCAGTTCCCTGTGGGCTCCATTCCCATGCTCCAGCCTCGCTGCCTCGCCCTCTTTCCAGCACTAATCATGGAATTGTTGCCCCATGCCTTGGCACAGCAGCACATGGATTGCTACAGTTGATCAATCTGATTGTTTTGCTTGAGCATTAGCTAATCAAAACATTTGTAGCTGTTTGGCTTGCAAGGTTTGTATTAAGATGAATAAAGAAAACAAAACTTTGATCATGGTTTTTTCCCCCTTTGGTGGATTTAAAAAAACAATTACGTGCACACACACACACAAATATCAAGTGAGCTCCAGTGACTGGAAAACAGACAAATTCAAGCTAGAAATAGGGCCGTGTTTTTCACAGGAAAGTAATTACCTGTTGGCAGAGCTGCTTCCTTATTACTGATTATTTTAAATTCATAACAGGTATGTAGTCTAATTTAAAAAAGAAAAAAAGAGGAAATCAAATGGCCTGTGCTAGGCAGAGGGTCAGATAAGATGATCATAATGGCTTTATGATATATGGGTGAAAAGAATTTTGAATGTAGCTCCTGCACACAGATAACAGTGCAGCTTTCTGAATGGCTGTAAGCAGGGAAGAGTTTTTCCTATTTTATTTCCCCCCACTATTCTTGCCAGCTTTTTTATTGAAAAAAGATACCTCTTTTAACATCTGCAGGGTAACTCACAGCATCTGCAGGTCCAGTGGAATCTCAGCTCTCGAGTCTTGCCTCCTCTTGTTTCAAAGCCTGTCTGGTGACTCTTCTCTTCCACTGCAGGGTTTATTTGCTTTACCACACCTGGAGCCAAGTCCTATATGGAGGTGTGGCAGGAAGCATCATGGCCATAGCCTGGTTTGCCTTCACACAAGAGATCCTAACTCCTCTCTTCCCGAGGATAGCTGCGTGGTAAGGCTCTTTATTCTGTGCAGGCTTGTTACAGATGTTAGCAATGAGAATTCCTGGGCTCTGTCCCAGTTTTGCATACTGACTGTTGTGTAACCTGCTTGTTCCTCCATGTTTTCTTGTGCATGCTTATACAGAGGATCGTATGTCCTCGATTTAAGGGTGGGGAAGAGAGGCAATTCAATCAGCTGCTACGTTTGTAAAGCCCTGCTAAAGCTGAGAGGTGTGGCAGACTGCTGGAGGAGCTTTGCAAGCAGAACAGACCTTTCTTAATGAATGTCTAATGACCTAGTAAAATTGCAAAGCCATTTACGTGCAGTATAGTCTGGAAATACTGTATAAGGAAAGAAAAGAGTTTTTTGATCAAATGTAACGAAGAATCCTTTTCCCAGCCTGAAGTGATGGGACAGTACTGTTAAATCTGGAGCATATTTTGTGCCTTTTTGTTTTGGGTTTTTTTGTTAAAATCACAGTGGAGAAAGTCTTAATTATTTCCCCCTTTCCCCCACCTTGTCTGCTTTCAGGCCAATTTCAGAGTTCTTTTTAATCCGAGACACCAGCCTCATTCCCAACATCCTGTGGTTCGAGTACACAGTCACGAGAGCAGAAGCAAGGTGAGTTCTGCTGGGGGGGGAGGGTGTGGAGGAGCTGTTGCTGCTTTGACTCCTTGGATGGTCCCATCTCACCCGTCCCCCCGCGCTGCCGTTGCAGGAACAGACAGCGCAAGCTGGGAACGAAGCTCCAGTGACGCCGGAACGCGGGACCAGAGTTTTACCGGAGACAAGACAAGAGCAGAGACCTGGGAGCAGCAAAGGAGCCCTTAAACAGACGGACCAAAGGAACAGGCAGGGACCATACCCAAAAAACCTGAAAGCCTTTGCTCTGCTTTAGCAGCTAAGCTGGATGCTCCCTGATGCATGTGGGACCGTGCAGGAGTAGAAGCTCATTTCCAACACAGATGCACATTGCCGGTCGAATGTACCATCCTGTCTACGTCAGGGGAGGGGGGAGGAAATGCCTGGTGTCGTGTTCGGGGGAGGGAAAACCAAAAAATGAATCCTTTCTGTGACTTTTTTTTTTTTTTTTTCCGTTTCTGTTTTTCCAGCATGAAATATACACACTATTTATTTATTTTTTTAAATGGAACTATTGTTTTTGGGGTGGGTGAGGCGTTGATTGTGTGTTTGGGGGGTTTTTTGCCTTTTTTTTTCGGGGTTTTTCTTTTTTTTTTTTTTTTTGGAAGAAGATGACAAAACTAATCTCAAGTGGATCATGTTTAAGTAGGGCTTTTAACTCTTACAAAGTTCTTCGGAGGGAGGGGAACTAGGATGGGGTGACCTAGATGGAAGGGAGAGGAAGACTTTCCTTTCTGCAACCAGTTTGGGAGATCAAAATCAATTCCAACTGCACTTTGTACAGACAGAAAGACAGACTATAAAGATCTGATTTTTAACACTAGTGACAGTTCTGCAGGGAAGCCTGCACGGATACCAATTAAGGGGAGTGTGTGTGTAAAACAAAGGAAAAACACAAATATACTGACTCTTATTTTTTTTTCCACTGCTGCTCCTGTTGTGTAATTAGCGAGGGTGTCCTTCTCAGAATCTCTTCTAGGTGGCAAGATTATCGTACATATCTGACATTTATTCCATCTCTTCCTTTACACTCGTATTACCTCAGGGTTGCTGTGATCTGTACAGCTTTTTGTTGTACTGAGAGTGCTGAGGGCACTGGGAAGCCCATTGGTTACAAGCAGTGCTGTGCTCCAGCAAGAGTCAGCCCAAAGCCTTACAAAATTCAGTTGCTGCTCTCTGTCTTAAGCACTGGATTTTTAATTTTTTTTTTTCTGTTACAGCTTAAGGGAGGGATTTTTAGGAACAAACACAGTGACAACCGTAAATGAACAAAGCAAATGGCTAATAAGTAGCTCAGCTGCTCTCTGAATTACTCCTTGAAGAGTCCTGTTAGAATCCAGCCATGAACTCCAAGTAGGGAACTTGTGATGGCAGGAGCCTCTGCTAGGACCACAGGAGCTTGTTAGGGGGGAGGGTTCTGCAGTTGTAGCCTTGAATGCTGAATTCCTACAAGCAAGTTTTGCTTTCCATCCTTCTTCCATCCCGGTTCTCCGTGTGGCCAGTGGGCTCTCTGTGTCTCTGTGGGAGTGTGCCTGCCATCTCTGTGTGCTGGTGATGCCTCCGACCTCTGTGACCCATGAGTTCACCTGGCAAGGGCTAAAACTCCAAGTGCTTCAGGGCTGTGCATGGACACTTTCTGTATTTCTAGTATATAATGCAGCAGTTCGAGTGTAACTCCACAGAAGTATTTATTCAAAGCACAATTGACTTGAACTTCCACAGATAAAAGGACAGCTTCTCAACTGGCTCAAAGGTCATCGGTGTGCCTTCGATGCAGTCATGTGAGCAGAGGTAAAATGACTGTCACATCTCGGTCTTGCTGCCTGTTTTACTATCTCCACTTTAATCAGACTCCTGCATTATAAAGCTGCTTGAAGTGAGATGTTTGGTTTTTTCCTGTTCATCTTGGTTATTTTTTTATTATTTTTTTTTTTAAGTTTTCATCTGTGCCTGTTGCTATAGGAGTTTCTGTGTTCATGTGGAGTGGGAGGTGCTGTTGGACAACCAGAGTGTTAACTGCAGAAAGGGGCCTGATCCAGGAGATCAGGAATGAAAGCTGTTTAAATTTTGGTGTTTAAATACTTATGGGTAGCAAATTAACTGTTGTCAGTTGTCACAGCAAGTATAAATATTTTTTTTTTTTAAGAACTGTTTAGTATTTACATAACATGAGCAATCCTGTGACATCTGAAGGACCCGAGCACTGGATCTGCTTTGAAGGTGCATCATAATAAAGAGGCATCTTGCAGCTCTGACAAGGATCTGACTTAGACCAGCTCTGTTAGGATGAGACAGGACATCAGACAGGCCCTGTGACATGGTGGTACCATATGGTTCAGCCTGAAAACTGGTACTAATCACTTATGTCTTTCAAAACCATTTATTTTCTCTTTATATCTCTATTGTTAGTGAACTTACAAAGCCAGAATGGAGATCACAGCTCTCTTTCCCAAGGCCAGGGCTGAAAGAGAGGATTGTTTCAGGAGTGGCTTAGCACTTCCCCAGCCTCTCAAGCTGTTATGACAAACTGCTGGAAAAACTGTATCTGGAAGCACCTACTGAGAACCAGAGCACAGGGAAGAGGGTTCATCTCCTCGTGGAGAGCAGTGTAGTGTAAAAAGCTGTTCCACTTCATGTTGCCTTCAAACCCAACCTTCCTACAGTAATTCTTAGGAGTGAGGGAGAAGAAGAAGAGCTCTTTTAAGACATTGTAATAAACTCTCCTCTGTTCTGTGAGTTGTTTGTAATCTGCATCTTCTGCCTACTTTTGCTGTACCTTTTCAGAAATCTTTGCAATACTTGATACAGTAGAAATTCCTTAGTGGTTCCCTGGATTTTCTTAACTAAATGGTGCTGTGCAGGAAAAAGATTTGGGCTCTGCCTTATTATCCTACCCTTGTGTGAAGTCTCCTGCCACTAGTTTTCTGAAATGGAATATTTTCTTTGGAATATGTGGCTTTGCAAGCAGATGATGCTTTCTATTCCTCCCCTGTACTCCAGGGGGCTGGATACAGATAAGACAATAAAAAGGAAGGTGACAGAATGCTGTGGTTCACTGTTCTTGCTGTCCCCACACAAACATCCTCCCAATGAGGGCAGTTATGTAACTTCTGCAGTGTCTGAGGAGATTTAAGCCCTTTTGTAGCTCTTATCTGTTTATTGTGTTTCAGTTTATTCAACGAACGGTTCCAAACTTTACATGACACGAATCCCTTTACCCAAACAGGATTTTAACACAGCCAGCCAGCAAAGCATGCAACACTACCAGGCTGGGTCAAAAATTGCACTCAGACCCCAAGAGTTATCCAAATGTTTTCAGTCTGTGAATTCCTTAAATTATCTGTTCCAAACCGGGAGCTTTTCTGGAGATTTAGCCTCTTGTACCTTATTTGCCTTTAAGACAATCTCTTGATCAAACAATCAGAAACAGGGAGAACAGTTTTAAGTCAACACTGAACAAATCTGAAAGGTACGAATCAGGAAGACATCACATTTTAGAACTTGTACAGTAAGAAAAGACTTTTTAAAGGAAAAAACCTTGTAATGATTTTAGCAGTGTCCTTTCAAGCACTTCAGAAATCAGCTTGATTCATCAGAATTTCAGCTCTGTGTATCAGCAAGGATGCATTAAGTGGGTTATGAATCTTGTATCTCTTTCAGTGGGACAGCCTGCTCCTTGCAGCTGTACTCTGCTGAAGACAGTGGGATATCCAGATTTAGATCCAGGATAGATCAATCCCATCTTCTGAGGTACAGTCACAGCAGCACATGCTTATGCTTAATCTTTAATAGGCACTTTCCTTTGAGAGCCTTCCCCCTTGGAGACAGAAGTGGAAAAGGGCCAGTCTCAAATACTTCAGTGGCACTGCTTGTGCTTGAAGGCATTGCAGACATGGAAAAATAACTCATCCCCTGGCAACAGAGGCTGATTCAGTCTGGGGGCAGGATTACTTTGGCAAAAGGAGTATTTTTACCATGTAAAAGGCTCCATAAACCCAGATGTAATTCGGGTAAGGTTTGATCTTTTCTGTAGTTATTTACACAGTCACTTACAGTTTGATAATACTGAGTTATCCTCTTGCAGTTCTCAGTCTAATTGATACAGAGGAGCTGACAGAGCAGGGAGGTGGGTGCTTGCAGGTTTGTAGTGCTCCTATTCGTGTCTTTAGGCTGTCTCACTCCATTCAGGATTCTTCTAAAAGATCAACTAAACCCATGTAGATGATGTAAAAGTGACAGTTCATACAATCACTGGCTGTGCAGGTGAGTTTCAGTTAAATTTTCTTCTTTAAGGTTTGTTTAGGTATGAGATAGAAGCTTTGAAATAACATCCTTTCAGGAAAAAAATGCCAAAGCATTGGCTTGTCTTTCAAGAAGGAAAATAGAATGATTTTTTTTTTCTTTTAAACAGCTTTAGTGCAAATTTCTTCATTTTTGTTCACCAAGGCACTTTGATCACGTCCCTTGCAATTATTTCCCTGTTAAAAAAACACACTCACACTCCTAATGCTTCTTGTCTATGGTGATATCCCAGCAGACATATCTTGAAGGGTGTGCAATTTAAATACAGAATTCTTGTTGCAGGCATAGCACTAGAATTCCTAATTACCATACAGTTTTACTAAATGAAAGTGTAGTTAGGAGCTTGGATTCTGGCAGGATTGGTTGGAAGTAGTTCCTATGCTACCATTGTATGTTAATGCTGATACATAATCTTTTACTGTCTCAAGTTTGTCAGCCAAACATGAAAACACTATCAACTCAGATCATTCTCTTTCAGAATAAAGCTGGCACAAATTGGGAGTAATATTTCAGTAAGAAATAACTCCCAAGAGTGGCAGGAAAGGTGCTGATACTGCAGGAACAGTGGATGCCACAGTGCACAAACATCTACAATATCCACATGTTCCCAGCTTTCTGCTTTTCAAGATTTTCTGCCTTGTTAAAAGCAGAGTGTTGTGAAAGAAGGGTGATCCTGCAGCTGTTTTTCCTTTGGCCCTTAACGGATTTTAACTCTGTGGGCCAGAAATGGAAGAGTGTTTGGAGTTCCTGATCAGAAACGTCCTTATTTGTCCACGGCTCAGGCATAACATTGTGCACAAAAAGGCTGTTTCTGAGAGCAAGGTATAAAACATGGGAGTCCTGAAGGAGATGAGGCACGTGGCCTTCTGGCTGGTGGGCAGAGTCAGCATCTTTTTTCCTTTGCTCAGTTCCAAAGAAAGGTACAAAGCTTAGCAAATGTCCTGCTGAATGCATCGACAGTCCCTTCTCATCTCTGCAGACGGGAAGGGACATGAAGCCAAAGCTGGCAAAACCTTTGTGAGAGGAGTTTTGTAGAAGCTTTGTGGGGGGAAACAGCTTTAGGCTGAGCTGGAAGATCAATGGCAGGACCACAGCAGCAAGCTTAACAAACAGCCCAGAGCAACAACAACAAAACCACCAATAAAAACCACCTTAGTCTGCAGCGAGTCACGTTGTGTTGTTAGTAAGGTCAGTGCAACAGAAGGGAGATCCCAACATCCCAAACCAAGGGGAAGGGAACGTTCCTGTAAAGCAGATGCTGCTTGGAGTGCCTGGGATGAGTAGTGCAGTGCACTCTAACAAGGCTGGATCCGCTCTGGCTTAACTTCTTTCTCCCCTTGCCGAAGTCCAGTGGTGAAGTTTTGCTGGAGCAGCAGAAAAACCTTCAGTCAAGTTTGAAAGACGCTCTTCGGAAGACTTAACAGTAGTTGCATCACACAATAAACATTCCCTGCTTTTCCTGGAGAACTTCCTTCCTAACCAAAGGGATTTAGATCCTGGTAAGGACTGTGCTTTCTGTATTCCTTTATAGTAAGTTTTGTAAAAATCATATTTGAGTCCTCTTTGAGGACAGGAAGGTGCACTTTGCATTGACAGGAGAGGACCAGTCAGTTCTGCTTTGGCTTGAGGCTGTTTCCTTTCACCACAGTCCGGTATCTGCAGATGACTACTGTGTAACCTCTTGCTGAAAACAAATGATAGAAGCCTTCCTGGGTTCCAGGGGTAGCTGTTCTCTCAATTATTGTCTGAGGAATTGGGAACTTCAGTGCATGAGGCAGAGCCCCTTTAACCAGGGGGGTGTTTGCATCACATTTGCCTCTTAGAGTTTGGATTTGGGAGCAGCCTGGAGCAAGATCCTCATGTCTAGCAGTGCCTTCTCGAGATAATGCGCCATGCGGGCGGCGTTTGTGTCAGCACAGCTGTTGAAGGCTGAAATGGCAAAGTTGATGTGCTCTTCCATGGGGTTGTAACAGACTCCATAGCCATCTGGAACCACGGGACCAAAACACATCACACAATCTGTCTTTGCTGGGACCTGTGGAGACAATGTGATTAAAACCTTCTGGCCAGCCAGAGAGAAAGGAAACCATCAAGTGCAAACAGCTCTGTCGACAGGAAACTCATCTCATTCAAGTGCTCTTGAAGGGCCTCTGGTTAGCCCCACCTCCCACCACACTGCTGCTGGATCCTACTATTTAGCAGCAATGTGTCTTCCTCTGCATTTCCAAAGGAATGCTTCTCCCCAGGATAAACTTGTAGTAAGTCACAAGTAAGAATGGGAGCACAGCAGATCAGATGAAGCTGTCCTGGCAGCTGGCTTCGTTGATCTCACTTGCCTTTAGACACCAAACACTTCTGGTGATCCTGGCTTTGGTCAGGTTAGTTTTTACAAGGCTCTGAGGGACTGTGGCAGCTGTAAGGTCAGATCTGCACCTTTATGGGATTGGCAGCTGGCTTAAAAATTCCTGACCCCAAAGGAAGAGGAGTTTCTGACAGAAAGGAACGAAAGAGAAACGTGAAGAAGCAAAGCATGAAAAGAAGCAGAGAAAGCACTTCTGTCCTACCTGGCTGGTTGAGAGATTGAAGTGCATTGCAACAGCATAGGCTGTGTCCATGAACAGCTCTGGCATGCTCACAAGGTCCTCGATTGCCTGCAGCTTCAGGCCCAGGAGGTGCCGGTCTATGGCATTGCCCCGTATGGCCTGGAAGGGAGGAAGGGCAGAAAGTCAGTCCAGCAGATCAGTGAGCAAAACTACCCATTTCTTTGGGTCAAAGAAAAGAACACTTCTAAAAATCTCTACATTTTGCAAGTTGGAAGGAAACTACATCTTGCCTTTAGGACTGGTAGTCAAGTCTTGATTATAAGACTGTGAAATTAAAACACACCAGTGGAACCAACCTTACAGTGCCTGCCCAGGGATTCCCTCTGATTTAAGGGGTTCTCGTGCAACTTTGGCATTTATGAGCAACAATGATGGTAAGAACTGAAGCTACTGTAATATGTGATCCTCTCCTTTAGGTCAGTCACAAGGGACACTTAACCCACTATGTAGAGAGAAAGGATTCACTCCATGGCTTTAGAGCACTGTCAGATCAGAGTCAGACCTCTGCAACAGCCAGATTGCTGTGTCAGCAGTGAAAGATCTGAAGGTCTTTTCTTTCCCCAGAACCCTCATTTGCTGGGTAAAACCCCAAGTCTGGCTGCACAGAGGACACTCACCATATCTGTGTATTCCCTGTGGGCCTTCGTGGCTCTCCTCAGCAGGTCTGCTTTGTCCTGGTCCTGAGAACACACAGATGTAATTTTTATTTTTTTTCAAGAATAGAAAACCTCACTTTGGCTGTTCCTCTAGAATGGAGAGCATTTCTGCCTTGGGTGTCTGCACAAAACTAACTTTCATAACTACTAGATTTAATTTTTACGTTGTTTTGCTTGGCTGTGTTAGCTCATTGTGAATAGATTTAGAACTTAGTCTGAGTAGCCAAACACTTTTAGAAGGGACTTTCTGGTGGGATTAGAAACATCCATGTGACGTTTCCCAAATGAATCCCACAGTTTTATGTTTGTAAATACTTATTTCAAGCTACGTTTTGGCCCACTTTTGTAACGGGTGCAGTTCCACTCAGCTGAAACCAGCTGACACAGGCTTAGCCAAGTAAGCAGCTTTTATTTTTAGGAGCGGAGTCCTCTCACTCCTGAGTTGCTCACCGATTTGTCAGGGCTGTCCATGGACTGCACGAACTTGAGGGAGTCCACGGAGGTGGAGCGGATGGTGTCGGTGCGGCCCAGGCGGAACATCCTCAGCGAGGCGCTCTCGTAGGTGGCGCAGGCGTGGCCGTACATCCTGCATGTGGAGGGGACAGTCACAGCACTGAGTCTGCCCTGGGGGAAAGGCCCTGCAGAGGCCTCTCTGTGCCACCTTTATCGAGCTCCTGTGTTGGAGGAGGTTGAGGAATTCCCCACTGGTGCTCTTACCTGTAGTATGCCAGCTGCAAGGCCAGCTGGATAAAAGCATCAGGGCTTATCTTCTCTGACTTGGGGAAGCCTTTCCCAAACTGATGAAAGACCATGACTTTGATATCCAGGTCTTCGACCATTCTGCAGGGAAAGAAAAAGTGTTCCTTTGCTTGTTCTTGTAACATAGAGGAGTGGATTTGCTTTCACAAGGCTTGGAGGGAACAGGCCATGTGGATTTGACCTATGCAGGGACAGAGAGCTCCACCACACACACATTTCTTTGGGCAGCACCACAGAGGTAAGATTTTTTTGGCCAGTGCTGAAAATCTTCACCAGCTCAGATGGGCTTGTGTGTGTTTATGCTCCATTATTCCTAGTTGGATCCAGTAAAGTCTTGCTCTTTCCCAACAAATGGGATGGATCAGTAATTACCCCTTTCCAGCACCTTTGACTCTATTCCTAGCAGGTGGCTTTAGTACTTTTCAGCTCAGTTCAATGCTGTTGACCCCAGAAGTCCCTGGGAACACTCCCTGGCTGCAGCAGGGAAAGCCTCATTTAAACCACTGACGTGCTCCAAAGGGGGACATGAATACTCCCCAGTCACTCACTGACCTCTCCACTCTTCATACTCACATGTTGAGGTTTTGCTTTGCATTCTCTATGTCGTTCTTGATTTCTGGGGTGATGTTAAACCGCAGCTTTTTGGGCATTGGCAGAGGAACCGTTGGTGATCTGACCTTCTCAGGTTTCTTCCTGCACAGAGAAACAGCTCTGTTTGACCAGACCTTTGACATAAGGCTCAGCTTGAACACCAGAGCCTGGATAGAAAGGCACAGGAGATCTTCCCTAACACCCTGTGACACTGGTTACAGTCTGAAAAATTCCTCTCAGTGCCAATAAGGTGTTTTACAAAGGGTGTGAATGAAATGTCTTCTGTGCCTTCTGCCCAAAAGAAGAAACAAACACCTCTCCCTGGCTAAAGTTGGTGCAACTCCCCAAGGGTGGGAGCAGTACTACCAGAGAAGCTTGGCCACTCAGTTCTCACGGATACAGGAACTGCAATACCTAATTAGCATCCCACTACCCTTTCTCCAGAACAGATTCCTGGGGAGTGAGCTGTAAAGAGGCATGTTCCTGGGGAGCAGGTGGTTTAGGACCTGTTCCCAACAGTGAGGAGGAGCAGGAGAGGCAGGACTCACGTGAACTCCACGACATGATCCAGAAGAGCAACGATGGGAGGACCTTCAGAGGGAGCGTGTTCATACACGAGACCACAGGAGCCATCTTCAGCAATGATGAACTGGGGGAGGAGCACAGCAGGAATAACATTACCACGTGCTGGCTTATCCTTTTCGATTAGCTGGAACATCTATACTTTATCCCATCGGTGAAGAGTTCCAAATAGGAACAAAACAGCTGAAAACATTATGAAGAGTTCAGCAAGTACAAGAAGAATTTTCTAAAGCACCATTGCTACAATCCACGACCCAGGATATACCAACTAATGAAGGAACAGCTCCAACAGCAGCTGCTGTTGAAGGCTCTTGACAAAACTGAGCGGAGAAGAGATCAGAGGGATGCTGTGGGATGGCAGCTTATGTCTGAGAAAACAAAACAAAATGCCATTGGGCAGCTCGTGGCAGAACCAGGAAAAGTGACAAGCCTGGAGGAGATCCCAGGAACAGACCTCCCATCGTCTGGGCTGCCTCTGAGCAGACAAGGAGTTGTTCACCGCAGGCAGAAAATTGATTTATAAGGAACACAAAGACCTGCTGCACTGAGTAAGCGTGGGCAGAGGCAGTAAAAGCAACAAATCCCTGAGGCAGCGGAGTGCTGGTGACTGGAAGGGGAACCACAGGATCTCGCCCTGCCAGCCACCACACCTCCTCTTCCCTTATTTTTACGCCCTCTTGACAGGAGGAAAACTCGCCTGCGCAAGGAATTTCTCGGACCTTTGTAGTCTCAGGAGAAAAATACCTGCAGACCCAGACCTGCAGCACCTTTGGAGCAGCAGCACTTACCTGCAGGGTCTTGTCGAACCAGCGGTTGCCGCTGTTCCAGCGGCTGCCGCCGCCGTGCAGCATCTGCGCGGCCACACGGCTCTTGTAGATGTCCTCGGACACCCGGGGCATGGGGGCATCGAGGCACACCGTGCAGATGCTCTTCTCAATGGCACGCACAGACTCCTTGTTGGTCTTGTCTGGGAGGGAAAGGAACCGCCAGTAAGGAAGGGGAGTTGGAAACCTTGTTGAAAGGGCAGGTTTGGAGGACCCGGTGTTGGGATCCAGTGGGGGTGTGCACAGCTATTGCAGGTGTGAACGTGCTGCATTCACCCTCCTTTTCTCACATTTCTTACGTGTGCAAGGCAACAAACTCTGGGATTTCAGGTCTAACAAACCAAGCTTCAGACCTTGCACTGATTGCTCTTTGAGGTGAAAACCTCACGTCACCTGTCCAGAACAAGCTTCCAAATTTCTGAGCAGAGCACAGCGGTGAGGTTGGCAGCTCAAGGATCTGCAGTGTTTGTTAGCACTTATATCTTAGGGGCTCTACAGACCTTTCAGGAGGTTGTTGTAGGCTTTTGCCCAGCTGTTTCGGTGGTTGGTGGTGAGGATCCCAATAGGTTCTTTGTTTGTTTGGAGGGAGGTGTTCCATATCTTCTCCAGCTGAATGAAGAGCTGCTCAGCGGTCAGGGGAGATCCATCACTGTTGTAAACATCCAGCTCAAAGAACTGGAGGTGAGAAGAGAGGACAAGGACAGAGGGAAGGAGAGAAGCTTGTTATTGTCCAGACCCAAAAAACAGGCAACAGCTACTTTGAGAAGGTAAGACCTGACCTAAGAACTCAGCTTTAGGCAGAGCTTTGAAGGATACTCAGAACTGAGAAAGCCAAGTCCAGCTTCCTTGCAGGGCATAAATACAGTCCTGGTTTTAAGAAGCTCAGAAACCATGGTAACCAGAGCCAAAACACACGAGGAATTCCTGTTTCTGAGACCAAGCTGTGGTGGGAGGGTTTGTTATCCCATTTTCACTTGCAGTTTCCAATTCCAGGCATAATCTCTAGGCTTTGGGAGATGGGAATTTCAGGGACAAGAAACAGAGGAAGAGAGCATTTTTTTTGCCTCCCAGTCTGTTGTCCACCCGTGGCAATTCCAGCTGTTGGCCTTACTGGCCAAAGGGGATAAAAGTGAGCAGGAACGACTCCCAGGTGAGGCAAACCTCGTGGGCAGAGACTTCCTGTTGTTCCCTTTGTGGATCACAACTAGCTGAAAGGGACACTTTGAAAGCTGAGGAGCTGCCATACCTGGAAGTTGTGAACCACTGTGATGTGCCTGGACTGCTTTTTGCCTTTGGCATAGTTGACAATGGAGTCCCGCTTGGGCCCGGGAATGCGGCAGGATGAGAGGATCTGGTAGTACTGGTTCATGCAGAGGGGCTTCCCACCCATGTACTCCACTGGAAGGGTCTCACTGGAGACACAGCAAGGTAAGGAGGGAGAGAGAAAACAGATCAGTGTGAGCAGGTCTGTGCTCCCCACACAGGGCACAGGCTCAGCTCTGCAGCTGCTGTCACTCCAGCAAGACCTAAAGGTGCTGGTGGGATAAAAAGGGGCTGTCCTTCCCCGTTCCTACCAGCTTGCTTAGTAGGGGCTGCAAAAAATGTCTGTTTGCTGGACTTCCATTTGGGAAAGGGAAAAAGCACCATCCTCTCTGTGACAACAGAGAAATCTCTGCACCTACTCCATGGCTGTAGTTCTGAGTGAGGAGTGTCTGATGTGCTGATATGACTGAACTAGGCTGGGGTCAGTCACTCACTTCAGCAGTCATAGTCCAACTACCCTTTTCACAGCTAGCTCTGAACCTTGTTTGACTGTTGGTGCTGGTAAACATATTTTTGGACCTTAAATACAGCATGTTCAGCAGAGATTTGTTGGTGACTAAAAGTAAAAGAGTAAGGGAGGTACAAATTTCTCTAGAGCTCATCCTGTCTGGCTGGGAGATGAGAAACACCAGGAACCCCAAATGAGAGAAACAAATTCCTGCTGCCTGAGCTGTAGCTTGTCCTGTGAGCAAACAGGAGCACGAAGCTCCACAGGACTGGCAGTCGGGCTCGCTCCCTCCAAGCACGTTCGTGTGCCAATGAAAGCACTGAGGTAAACAAAGAACATGAAGAAAGAAAAGTAAGTTTGCTTTTTTTTCCAGTAGTGGTGACTGTGGCAGTGAGCAGTGCTGGGGATTACAATATCTTTTCAAATATGCACTGTCTTCTCTTGCCTTTCTGTTTGGAAGGGAGATTTATGGACGAGGCTCAGCCTCTCTGTGACAGGAAGGAACGTGTGAGCAGTCAGGAGGGTCAGTAACTCACTTGTCAATCATGGACTTGAAATCCAGGATGCCCTCGATCAGCTTGGCAGCAAACCTGGAAAAATATCAAATGTAACAAGCTGAGATTCAAGCACAGATCATCTGGGGCTGAGGGTCGAGCAGAGGAGGATTAGCAGAGCTGCTTTCTGCTCCTTAGAAAGCTCAGCCTTACTGCCAAGCCCCTGTTGTGCCCACCTCTGGTTCACTGATACAGCCACTCTGGGCTGTGGTTTGAGATTCCTGGGTAGTCCTACCACGTGGCACTTTGTTTTTTTTAATGTATCTTACTGTATCACCAAGGAATGCTGGACAGCTTTTAGGAAAGCAGGATTCAGTGCAGATGACCCTCTAACAGCAGTGTTTGTTACTGATGTGTGAGGATTTTACCACACCTGAGTTCTGAATCTCAGCATTAAAACAGCACCAAGAGAAGGGGATTTCTGTCCTTTCCTGGCCAGGGGCCACCTTGGTTTGTCAAATCAAGACACAGAAGTTTCTCCCTGCACCCAAGACTCATCACTGCTGACTGAATTCCTACCCAGTGAACATCCTGCTGCTCATGCAACTCCGAAGAACCTTCCTCTGGCACTGAGGGCTCTGAAACAAAGGCAGAGGTGCCGCACATGGACACTGAGGTGTTGTGTTTACCAGGATCACGTGGACGCTGCCAGTGCCAGCAGGGCTGTGACAAGATTGGCCTTCTCTGACCTGGGAGCTCCCACCCATCCATGGGGGAAGGGAGGCAGGGGGTCACTGGGACAGGAGGTTGTGGTCAGGTGGTGCCAGAATTTGGCATTTGCTGGCTGTGTCCTCTAGGATGGCTCAGCCCACCCATCCCTAGGAAAGACCAAAGGACACAACTCCAAGAACTTAAGGGCTGTTCAAAAAGACATCCTGCAAAACAGTTTTCAATTAAAATTTCTCAGCCTTACTGTAAAACCTGAGGGAAACACCAGTGATAGAGCCTGTGTTCCTTTTCTGAGGTTGAACAGCCTGGGAGCAGAGTCTGGGCTCGAGGAAGAGGAAGGGAGAAGTTGGTTGACTCATTTTCAGACAGCAATGTTGCCAGATTAAGGAGTAGAGAACCACCCCTTTCTAAATTTGTCTTCTGGTCTCTGAAGCTTTAGTCTGAAGCTGCACTTCTTTGTACAACTTCTTTGTACAGCCCCAAACTACCCAAACACACATTTAGATTGTAGTTTTACAGGGCAGCCCAGCTTCTTATGCAGCTTCTCAATTCCACTAGTTGGGGCACTGGCAGTTCTCCAGATCTTACCTGCTATTTGGACAGTTTAAGAAGGAATAACATGACAGAGCTTTCAGAGATGTTTGTGTACTCTTGCACTGTCGTAAGGTTTATCCTCTGCTCAGGTGTATCACGGGGGTGGGAGCGAGGATTTGTTCCTCACTGATCCCCTGGCTGGTACATTTGATCTCCAGGGCAGTCTGGAGATAACTGTGGCAAAGGTAACTGTGTAAAGGTCAGTGCTAAAGTTTTGCAGGTGGATTCAACACACTCAGTAGCAGTGGTTAAAAATTAAAGGGAACCCACAAGGAAGAGAGGGCATGACAAGGTCTGATTGCAAGGAAAGGCCTGGAGTGGAGGGGCTGATCACTGTGAATTTCCCAAACCATAAATCACAAGTGAAACAACACAATAGGGGACAGTTCCTGCCAGGTTCCCCCATCCCTATAAACGAGCAAACTCCAGAGGCATTCCTGGATGATCTCCCTTACATGCCTGGGCTACTTTTTATGGCTTCTTTAAACACACACACAACCTCAGTGGTCCAGATACATCCTCACAACGCCTCCAGCCAGTGATGTGACCATCTTGCAATGAAGAGCTGGAGCAAAGACCTAAACGTGGGTGTCTAGTCCCTGTTTAATGCCTGAACCACTGGACTCTTTGGTTTTCTCCCCTAATTAAATATTTAGCCTGGTGCAACCAGGAGTTTCCTTACAGCCTGGCAGCCTTGCCCTTGGAGCCCTCTTGCACAGCACAGACAGCTCAGACCTGGGGACCACACGATAATTACTTTCCCAATCAGCCTGAACACCCTCATCCTTGTCCAGCCCAGAAACCTTATCCCATCTGTAACCTAAGGGAAAGGAGAAAAGGACTTTACCTGAGCTGACCTTGCCGATCCAGAAAATCCTGCTTGGGTAAAACCACACCTGGGCTGGAGTGAACCACAACTGGCAGGCGATATTCCAGGTAAGCCGTCTTCAGCCACCAGTCCGAGAGCTGGGATGGAGGAAGGCAACATGCAGGGATGAGCTGCTGTTTGACCTGAGCCTGGCTCTCAGGTCTCAGCACCCTGCCCCACACTTTACAAACTGTTTGGGGTTTCTGCTTTGCAGGTGGGAAGGGGAGAGGGCGATTTAAGCGAGGCAGGGGAGGTTCTTAGGGCAGGGCTCTCGTAGGGGGTTTCCTTCAGCTTCTTGGGGCAGCTGCATGATGCTGACAGAGCCTTCAGCAGCTGCAGGCAGGGCCAGCAACTCCCTGTCCTGCCATAAACCTCTCTGCTCACCCAAGTCGTGCTGAGGAGCTCAGGGAGGTCAGCAACAAACACAAAGGTGATGCCATTAAAACACAGGTGCCCATCAGCTCTCCACCCTCCCTCCCCAGAGCTGGGGACGGTCCCCACCTACCCAGTTCTCTGTTTTCTTGGCTCTTCTCTCCAGGCCCTTCTGCAGCCTCTCCCCGACGCCTCCCGGCTTGCGGAACTCGGCCACCAGCTCCTGCGTGTGGTTCAGCTCCTCCTGGCTCACGATGGGCTGCAGGGTCAGCAGGTACCTGTCCAGGGTCTGCTGCAGTGGTGGCACTGGCAGGTGGGGCAGTGCTTCCTGGTGGAGCTGGAATCTGCCCGGGATCTTGCCTAGAGACGTGGTCGCTTTCAGCAGGCCACAGGGCCTGGCCTGCAAAGCACAGAGCAAGTGTCGAGACAGAACTTCCCCCCGGCCAGCACTGATTCTCAGCTCCCCTGAGAAAATGCTGCTGGGATAACCTCCCACGCTGGGCACCTTCCAGCTGAGAGCCTCCATGTGTTTGACAAAGTCAAACCCTTCCATCCCATGGTAAGTGGGAAGAAAGTTGTGAAAGAAATAATCATCTTATGTACTGTCACGAACTTTCAGTGTTTCTTACAACAGCAGGAGGCTAAAAAGTTAAACAACCCTCGTGCCAAACCAAACTACCCTTTTGGCTCTAAGGATGCAGAATTTAGCTAAGTTTGGGGCAGGATTAAAATGCCTCTTCTCTGAATGCACAGGAAATTGTGGGTGATGCCAGCAGGCTCCTGGGGTCCAAGTGGGTCGCGTGGGAGCAAAAGCTTCAGAAAGCACCAACCATTTCCCTGGGCAGACAAATGAAACGGAGCAAACCCAAGTGCTAATCAGGAAATGAACCTGCCAGTTTTCCCCCAAAGGAATAACAACATCCTCCTTGGTGAACAGGATGAACATCCTTCAGCTTGAAGATGTTTAAATTGTACTCTAAAGGTTTTCAGTTCCCTCTGCATCTCCCTCTCCATTGGACCTACTGAATCAGACACTCCTGCAGGACTGGACTTTGCACTGTCAGTGTACTGAGGATGCAAAGCCAGAGAGAACAATCCCTTTGAGTTTCAAAACAATAAGAAAATAGCTGTCCCCACACCTCCTCCCAGCAATTCAGGACAGAGAAGAAAAAAGAAAAGTCTAAATCTGCACAGTGACAAAGCCCCCAGGGAAAATGCCCTGTGCTTGTTGTGCGACCTGGCAAGAGCTCAAGACCTCACGACCAAGGTTTGGAGAAGGAAGAGAAAAACAAGAAGGATTTACTGAGGCAGGAAAGAAGAGCAGGGCTGGGAAGAAACAAAGGGTGTTAATCATGGAAGTGTGGGCATACTGTACCTTCTCTGCTTGCTCCTGCTTCCTATCCATGGCTGGGAGGACAGAAAAGACCGTAAACCTCTCCCTCGGCCTGTCTGGGTCTCCTCTTCCACCTGACAATGTGCTGCCCGTGCAGGGCGTCACCTTATTAGCCAAGTGCCACATGACTGCTCCGATCAGAGGGCTCAGGGGCTGGCACAGCCCCGGGAAGGGACGGGAATAATCAAACCAGGGTTGCGACAACTGCCCCGGAGGTGCCTCCCTGAGCAGCCCTGGCAGACACCGCCTGCAGTGCGGATCAATAACTGTGGGCAGAGCCTCTGATCGACAGCGCTGGGCTCCAGCCACAGCAGGAGTGACAGCACTGGGGATGTTGTCCCCTCAGCCTCTGCACGGACGGTGAAATTGCTGCAGCTGCTGTGAGAGGTGCCTGGACACGAGGAGAGACCCCGGTTTATGTCCTGGAGGCAGGTGGCACCGTGGGCTGGCACTGGAAGGGACAAGCTGCACGGAGCCCTTTTGTGGGGGGTGGGCAATTCAGTCCCTTTAGTCAGGCAAAGGTGGCCAGAGGGTGTCAGGTGAGGACAGTGACCCAGCCTCACTGGTGGTAGTGGAGGATTAGTTGGAGATGGGGGCAAATTCAGGTCGGGGCTAAAGGAAGTATCTTAACTGCCCTCACTCCCCATGCACGTGTGAGCATTACTGCAAGCTGAGACTTTGGGGAGTTCTGGCTTGTCAACCTTTTAAAAAAAATACATTTTGGGATATATCTCCACAGCAGGGTAGTGAGAGGCTCACGCAGCCACAAGGACTGTCAGCCCCTCCTTCGTGTCTGTCTAATGATTAGAGGGGCTGACAAGCAGAGTCTGCAGAGCTCAGCTCAAGTATGATGGTTGCAAACAAACACTTTCAGATTTTCCCCTGGGGTAGCAAAGAAAATCCCAAACCAAACTAACTGAAGCCACTGCACGTTAAAACGTGGAATGCATTTGCATCTTCCCTCTTTTATGTCCCCTGCTTGTTCAGTCTGGAGTTAAACTCCAGAGTGTTTGGTGGGAGGAACAGCCCTCAGAGCTGAGCCAAGAAGGCAGCTGGCAGCAAACAGAACAGCCCACCTGCCCCCACAAGCACCAGGAAAACGAACACCAGTGGAGCAGGGTGTGCAGCCCATGGGCTGGCATCGCTCCCCAGCTCGGCAGATGACCTCTGCCAGAGCCTGCAAAGCTGGTGGGAAAGGAAATCCACCTGCAGCCAGGGGCTGGGGGGCAGGAGGAATTTCACAGCAGTGTCTGATTCCCAGCACGGCCACAGCATTCGAGTGTCAGATGTCAGAGGTTCATCTTTGTCTTTTATTTTTAAATCAGAAGCTGGAGACCCCCTCAAGCCCAGAGACAACCAGCTCTGCCTGGGCCCTCAGTAACCCTGGGAGTGGATCCATCCTGTAGCTGCTGTGCTGCTGCTCTGCCCCCTCCTCCCAGGACCTGTCAGGGTTTGCAGTGAGCAGTTCCCAAGCCCAGTCCCTCCTCCCAGTGCCCACCTTCCTGCTGGCCAGCCCCAATGGGACACCTCAGTACAGCAAAGACAAGGAGCTACTGGATGGGGTCCAGCAGGGGCCACAAATATTATTAAGAGACTTGAGCATCTCTTTTATGAGGAGAGGCTGTGGGAGCTGGGCCCGTTTAGATCTCACTAATCATGCGAGGAATGGTGCCAAACTCTTTTCCATGGTGCCCAGCAACAGGACGAGGAGCAATGGCCACAAACTAAAACACAAGGAGTTCCACACCAACATCAGGAGGAACTTCTTTCCAGAGAGCACTGGAACAGGTGCCCGGGGAGGGTGTGGAGTCTCCCTCCCTGGAGACGTTCCAAACCCACCTGGGCCCGCTTCGGTGTCACCTGCTCCAAGTGACCCTGCCTTGGGGATCTCCAGAGGTCCCTTCCAACTCTAAACTACCCAGTGATTCCGTGATTCCCATCCCGAACAGCCCAACCGCTCACGCTGCCGCCGGGCACGGGGAGGAACCGACCGGCCCGGGGGAACCGACCCGGGCAGCGCCCCTGCCCCGCTCCGGGGGTGCTGCGGGAGCTGGGACCGACCCTCCCACGCTGCTCACACCGCGGGACACCCGCCCTACGGCCCTGACCGGGGACCCGCCCGCGCCTGTGCCCCGGGCTGGGGCGCGGGGCCGGCCCCGGCAGCGGCATTGCCCGGAGCCACCGCCTGCCCCGGGGAAAGGCCCCGCACGGACCCGGCCGCCACCTCCCGTCCCGGCTGCCACCCAAGCCGCCCCTCCTGTGCCGCCCTTACCGCAGCCCTGGCCACCAAGGCGAGCATGGCCCCGCGCCCCCGGCCCCGCCGCAAGGACACCGCGGCCACCCCGGCACCGCCGCCCGCTCCGCCGCCGCGGGGCGGGGCCGCCCCAACGCCATCTTGGAGCGGGGCGAAGCCCGCGCCGCCATCTTGGAGAAGGGCAGGGTGATGCTGCGAGACGAGGGAGCGCCGCAAACGGTGTCACGGCCCCTCTCTCATCTGCCTTCTCCCCGCGCTGGTCAGGAGGGTCCTCCTGCTCGCCCCTCCGCGTCTCCCTCCGCACCCGCTCCCCCGCTCTACGGGCAGGGAGGGCCGTGCCACTCACAAACATGGCGGCGCGGGCGCGACGGCGGCCGAGAGGGGCCGTGCCGCGGGTTGACAGCGCCGGGAGCGGCGGGGCCGGGCGGCGTGCCCTGCTCAAAGATGGCCGCCGGCGGCTTCGGCCTGCGCGGAGGCGGGAGGTGAGGGGCGGCCGGGCCGGGCTGCGGGAAGATGGCAGAGAGCGAGCGGCGGGCAGGTGAGGGGCTGCCGGGGGGCTGCGCTCGGGACCCCCGAGGGGACTGTCCTGGGGGCCGGAGTGCGCCGACCGCGGGGCATTGCGCCCCGGGGGCGCCGGGCCCGGGCTGCGGGAGGGAGGGGGGGCGGCGGCAGTGCCCGGCCCGGGGCGAGGGGAGCGCGGGGGGGTTTGCTGAGGGCGGGGAAGGGACGGGGCCCTCGAGGCGGGTGGTCGGGGCTGAGCCCCTGGAGCCGCCGGATCGGGGGTCCCTGTCACCCCCAGCCCGGTTTTGTGCCTGATTCCCGCGCGGAACGGGGGGCGTTTGCTGTGGGATGCCCCGAATTTAACTCCCCCCTCCCCGCACCACCGCACACCCCTGGAAGGGTCTCCTCGGGCCAAGCTGCTTCTCGTCGTCGAACTGACCCGCTGTGCTCCATCGCACCAGCAGGTTCGGATTCTTGTGTATTCACCCTAAAACACTGTAACCCCTGCGGCCCTTCTGTGACTATTCCTGGTCTCCTTCCGAAGAGGCGCTAAATGACGTGTGGGGCAGAAGGAGCGATGGCTGCGAAACAAATGCAAAGAGATGAAACAAAGTTCTATGAAGGGCAAACACCTGGATCCCCGGCCCGGGACACTGCCCTGGCCACCCCGCTGGGATTTATGTGTCACCTGCGCTCATGGACACATCAGTGTTTGCCTTTTTACGCCACTACTTGGGAGTTTTTTGTTGGTTTTGTGTTATAAACACTTCTAAAAGCAGAGCTCCATTCGTGATGTCGCTGTGAGTTGTGTGCAGAATTTTCAGAGGAGAGACACACACGTGCCTTTCACTGAAATTCATCACGTGTTGTTCCTCTCATCCTCATACCTGGAAGTTTTGCTGTAACTTCTGCAGGAATGAGCCAGGCGCTGTGACACCCCAGGGCAGGAGATGAGGCTGGGTTTGTTCTGTGCAGGGGGAAGGTGAAAGGCAGAGAAGTCAGATGACTGTCAAAGGTTGTATGATAAATCTATAGCAGGCTCTGCGTGGTTCCTGGGACTTTGGATTCCTTTTAATCTGATCTGCCTGCCAGGCAGCACTGTGGAAAAAGGCTGCTGATGCTTCTGGGTGGTGTTTTCTGTGTGAATGCAGTTGATAATACTTTAAGGAGTTGGAACTGGTGGTATTTGTTAGGGAGCCAGTGCCTGAAGTGGCCAAGATGTGGAGACCAGTCACTGAGCGTGCCAGGACAGCTGGTGTTGGACAAGTGCCTGCAGAAAATCTGGGATTAAAAAGGTGGACACAGTGGCTCTGACAGAATTCCTAAATTGACATTAGCACCTAGGTTCCTTGACAGACCTCTCTGCACAGCCTCTTGCTGTTGGTGGTTGCACTTACCAGGAGCAAAATACAAATTACCTTTAACCTCCTGGAGCTTTTCTGGCTCTACAGGGTCATCCTGGGTTCAGGTGCTGAGGAAAGAGACCCTCTAATGTGTTAACAACTCACATTTGTGTTAAATACTGAATCCTGGGCTCTGAGAGAGCTTAATTAAACATTGATTTCAAAGAAAGGAAGATACAGGATTTCTTCTTCTCCACTGCCTCTGTTTTACCTGTTTTTTGCATCTCCCAGGTGCCTCTGAGGAGGTGGCTCCTCCCGTCCAGCAATGCTTCATGATCCCCAAAAAGGAGATAAATGTGGTTTCCGACATGGCCAAGTGGAAGCGCTCCCAGGTATGGCTCTGGGAACAGGGAAAGCTGGGAAATGCTGCTGGGCTTTCAGTGGCAGCCAGGTCTGGGCTGGGAACAGCCAGGAGGTAAAGCAGGGTTGGGCGAGGAATGGGAAATTAATGGGTTTGTGCCTGTTTGTAGGAAAATGACTTGGCAGCGAGGTGTGGAGGAGGGAGCCAGGGAAAGCCCAGAGGCTGAGGGAGACCAGAGATGCTTAGAAATGATTCCTGCTCCCTCCCAGCAAGCTGGATGGGAACCTGGTGACTGTTTAATCCCACCTGGCCTGTACTTTATACCCAAACCAGACTTACCCAGTGCTGTTTGAGCCCACCTTGAGTATGGCCCTGCTGCCTGGGTTGGTCCTGGGGCCTTCCCACTGTTTTGTACTGGAAGAGGCTCTGGAGCCAAGGCCTTCAATTTCCAGGATAATTTTTGTTTACAGCATGTGTGGAGCTGGTGGAACAGCAGGTTCTCCCCTCTCTACCTTTGAGGGATCGGGGTGTTGGCCCAGACTTGTCCCACCAAATTCTTGCTCGATGACTGACCTGAGATGTCTGGAAAGATGCTGAAGTTGCATCCAGGTGTCAAGCAAATCTCTGAGTGCAGCTTCTAATTTTAGTCTACTGGGTTTAAGGACTTGCTCTTGGTCAGGATTTTGGTGCAAGGAGGGGGAGGTGACAGTGGCTGCTCTGGAGCTGTGGAGCTGCACTGGAGATGATGCTTCAAAAGCAGCAAATTTAAAGAGAGGAGCAGCGAGGAGCCTGGGCTGTGTCCCAGTTCCCTATCGTGCGTGAGCACGGGGGAAGAGTCCAAGGGGGAATGGGGAGATAATGGCACAGGTCTGGGAGGAGCAGGGTGCCTTGGCACAGCTGAGACTCTGCAGAGCTCAGGAGCTGGAATTTGACCCGATAGGAGCTGAGGGGATGATTTTGGGGGCAATGTGAGCGATTTTAGGATGCTCCTCTCTGTAATTTTCAGAGTGCAGTCACCATCTGCCTTCTGCCACTGGGGCTGCCAAAAAGAGCAGTGGCCTCACAGCAAGCCCTGCACCCCCGGGTGTCTCCAAGGAAGCAGGGTTGTGTGCTGGGAAAGGTTTCCTTGGGGTTTAAGGTGCTCCCATGCTGTGTTTTGTGCTCAGACAGCCCGTGGGCACTCACTAATGCCCTGCACTCTCGGTGTGTTTGCAGGCCTACGCAGACTACATGGGCTTCATCCTCACCCTGAACGAAGGTGTCAGGGGCAAGAAGCTGACCTGTGAATACAAAGTGTCAGAGGTAGGAGAAGAGTTTGGATCCCCTTGATTCTCCTTTCCTGCCTTTTTTTTTTTTTTTAATTGGTTCTACAGTGAATATTTCCTAGGTGAGGAGTGAATTGGCAGCTTATCCGGGAGCCAGGGAGAATGAGTGTGGTTGGGTTATGCTTGGGGATGCAAATGTCAGGCTGCCATCCCCACTCCAGGATGCAGAGGCTCTGAGTGTGTGCTCACTGGGTGGGACACTGAGCGAGTTGCAAGTGGATAGAAGCCATGGGGAAAAGGAGGGTGCAGAAGGGACACGTTTTGACCCTGTTTTCACAGTCTGGCTTCAATCAGGGGTGCTTCGAAGATGTGATATTCTTTCCTGGTTGCAGGCAAAAGGCTGAGATGTCTCTACCATTCCTGTTCTCCCACTGGCTTTTCTGTAGGACCTTGGGCAAATCACTTCTCTCCTTGTCCCTGGGCTTCCTCGTTACTCAGACTGTGTCAGCAGCACCAGTGCCCTTGTCCCAGGCTGTGGCTGAGCTGTGCAAGCTTTGCTCTGACAGTTGTGACCTCAAGGCACATCAGTGGCTGCACCTTGCCCAGGGTTGTGCTGGGGGGGCTGTGGAGCTCACAGGGAGCTGGGCTGGGCTGAGAGGTTTAACCTGAGGGGCGGGATTGCCCCTTCCAAGGTGTTAAGCAGAAAGGGCCTGTTTTTCCCCTTCCATGAGTATGGCTGTCACCTGGCCCTGCCTGTTGCCATGGCCAGTTTTAATGTCTGTTCACCTTCTCGGGGCACAGAGAGATGGTTTGGAGCCAGAGGGAAAGGGCAGGCACCCTCACTGGTGTCACTGCTGCCCTGAGGGCTCTCTGGGTGCTGCCAATCCACACAGCACATGTTGGGTGTTGGATCTCCCCTCCCTTGTTCTGCATTGCAGCGAGGAGGTTTCTGGGTACATTTTTACTGATCGTGGCGGTGCAAGAAAGCTGAGAATGATGTAAAGAGATCATGGGCAGCAGACTGGGCCCTGTGTGTTTATGGCTTCATTCTGATGTGGGAAGGCAGCTGGTGATGGTCTTTAACCCAGTTGTTCGTGTCTGAAGCAGGCACACAGGAGCCAGCGTGTGAATGAGAGACTCCCTTGTAGTTCATGGAGGGGAATGGGGATAATGAGCCCCTTCCTAACAGGCTTTGTGCCCACCTTTTGTTCCTTCAGTTCAGTAGAAACTGCTGTCAAATGCTGCTCTTGCTTTCTGCTGTTTGCATTTCACCTTTGAGTTTTGTCTTTGTCAGGATCTCGCTTGTTCCCAACCATTCACAGAGCAGTTCTAGGGAAACAAAGCATTAAAAATGAGCAAAACAAAGAGTGGGGGGAAAAAACCCAACCCTTTTCCTACAAACCTTTGAGCTGTCAGGAAAAGCTGTACCAGGGCTGTGTCTGCAGCAGAGCCCTCTTGGAGGGAATGTTTTCCATCCATGGTCCCAGTCCAAGTGACAACTAAGAGGCACAATGCTTGGGAAGAGGCAGGGAACCAATCTCATACCCCCCACACCGAGGAGAGCAGGAGCCTGTGACTTGAGGCCCAGGTGGAGCATCCCCAGGGTTGCCTTGTTGATGAGGTTGCTTGTTCACACGGGCTCCTTTGTAGATCAAACTGCTTATCTGTGCTTTTAAAGGCTCAGCCCCTCGTGGCCTCTG